CGCAATTGTCCAGCCCATATCCTCAATAGAAGCAGAATAACATAATGAACGGGTCGATGAGGACGAAGGACCTGAAATAACCTCAATTGCTGGTTCAAAACAACCATGGCGAGCCCTATGTGCGATCACAGTGGCATGTAACGCAGGACTTTGTAGCACAGAACAGAATGAGAATAACCTCCATTGAAAATAACTGCTTTGTAAGTATGTATATTGAGTTTATCAAAAAGCGAGAGGTGTGATTTAACCACTACTTTGTGAACGTTGGGGTAGTGTGATCACGAGTTGTCCTTGAGGGTCGGAGTAGTCTTGGAGGCGGGGGATAGCCCTTGATAAGGTGGGGAGTGGAGGGAAATCCTATAGGGTTTGCTGAGTAACGCTGGATATGATTCGATCGATAGTAAAAACAATGATCCCAGCACCAATGGTTACAATGTATGCGTAATTTTTTTAACTAGCGATGTTACAGACTGAAACCCTTACAGTTGCACATACGTGATGCGTTCAAAAAGTACTCAACCTAACTATGTTCTCGAAGTCCAATTGTCGAAAAGCTTCTATTTTATTCTGGAAGGAATCATTAGCAAAGCGATGTGTCCAAATATTCAAGCTGGTACTGTTAACAATATATTGAGAACTGACACCCGTATGACCATGCAGTATTTGGTTTTGAACCCTTGGCATCATGTATGAATAAGTGAAAACATTACAAAAGGTATGTTCATATGATTACGTCATCTGAAAGAGGGGTGGTAGTGTCTCCAAAACAACAAGCATTCAATAAACATGAAAGGGGGAGTCAATTTAACAAGAGAGATAGTTGTTTTTATGCACTTCAATATCTAAGTTTGATTCTAGTGGACTTCTGCTTTCTCAAACACACAAAAATGTGTCCGTAGGCATTTATTGCAGAAGTTTGCGTTTTGGGGGTTACCAAGATAAAGTCAAATAAAATGGGGATCGTGAAGCTGGAACATAGCAAAACCAATTTGCTTGAGGTTGACAGATGCTATGTAGAAAAAAGCTGCATTTGTATCATTTTCTAGGTGAGGCCGACTACTTTTTGAACGCCAATCGTACCTTCTGTTCGGCTACCTCAGGACTGTGCCAGATAAATCAGTGGGATATCTGAGAAATCCTTTCTGTGATCGTACCCCTCTTTTAGACGCCAATATACCCAGTTCTCCGTTCCATCTCGCGCTGAACATTTCTTTAAAAAGGTTACAAAGTTGATGGTCGAATATCAGAGAATATCTCCGTCGTGACCTGTGCTGATCTGATTCCTTGATTGTATAATTTAGAAATACTCATACATATGTCCCAAAGCTGATATTTCCACGGTGATCCTGATGTTTGGACGTACTTTACAACTATGACACACACAGCATTGTCTCCCTTTTGAAAGAAGGTCGAATGCAATTCACCTGCACTGTTGATATGGTAAATAATGATGGTCAAAATGGTAAGCAAAATTCACAATTTCTGATCAGAGTTTCCATTGATAAGTGTGATATTGAAACAAATGATCGGGAAATCTTTCTTATATAGAATCCGTTAATGTGGGGTGGTTTCCTGTGACACTAACTGAATGCAAACTAATGTACATTGATAATTGATCATGCGAATCCGTACGTACACAAAATTAGGAAATACGGAACAATATGATCATGACAGGAAAATGTCGGTGCTATGTTAAGAGAAACAAGACATGTGATATATGGGCATATGATAACACTGACAACAAGCGAGACGTATCATTCTAAAGCAAAATGAATTGATGTTTGTGATCCTACGTCTGCAAGTATGAAACCTCAGGCCAAATCGTGTTTACTAATTAGCTAAAAGGTAATCCCGACTGCACTAAATGAAAATGTTCAATAGCCCTTGCTTAACACATTAATTGTCAGGTGAAGTTTGAATTACATCTACATGTACATGTGGCGTTGCTGTGGTGTTTTCGAACCGAGTGATTTTGTAGAGCGTTTCCTTATATACGTTGAGATGTGGTTGGCGTTTTGTTTTGCATTTCTTTAATTCTCAGCAATCCACTATCCGTGAAATATGCACGGTATATTTAACATCAGCTTCCAGGAAAGGGTTCAATGTTCTGATATTCTACACATGAGGTATTCTTGTTGCACAAAACTCAATATAATGTAGAGGGAGAAAAGAAATGTCTATTTCGTTGTATAACTGGACAAGATCCACACAGACACATTTTGCATTAGCTACATTTAGTAACTTGAAGAGAAAATGTTCACGTTGTGAACAGTGTGCGTAATATTCCAGCATTTTCATCGCATACATATGCGTGTAGATTCGAATAAAATCAGAGAGTTTGGTTGTTGAAATCTACTAAAACTGTGAGGTTGGCATTCACACTAACCATCATTTACGTAAATTCGTGTAATCACACATTGTATGGACATTATGGAATCCCTTCATTTCTTCAACGAAGCCACTCATTCCAGAGCTTCCTTGGTAACACCGAATGCCTTAGTCCGGAAATAGTTCTTCATACATCGGCAAACTACGACTAAACGAAACCCTACTAACATGTCTAAACCTGTATACTAAGATCCAGAATAGCATGGAAAGGCATGAACAACTATGCATCAATGTGTACTGGGGTAAGGTACTCTTCAACATGACGCTACGACGAGGGGCGAGAATCCACTGGTCAGTGCAGAATACTTCATTCACACAGCACCTCAATCAAACTAAACTCACAGTTGTAGAATAATGTTCTTGAATGCACAAGTCAATTGTGCTTTATTAGGATAGTTACAAAGTTCGTAAATGTCGATGAATGCAAATGTCATAATTAGCCATGATAGTAATACCGAGTGACTACTGTCTTCACACAAATTTAACAATGCCAATAAAAAGTATTTATACAAAGTTTTCAAGTGAGAAACTACACCTCTACCACACATGAATATCCTTTGGTATTTATCGATTACAAATACACACAAATTATGCAAAACATAATACGTTTACATGTAATGCCTGATAACTCCATATGATGACATCATAGGATGCTAGCAAACTCATCACTGATGGCTGGATTTTCTTCGACATACACAGAAAGGAAGCATAATCAACTACAATGAGCGAGCAATGTTTACACGACACTGTGGTAGAGGTCATTAGGCATCATATCAACCTCCTCCTTGGCTGATCCTGCTGTACTGATATCTTGGGTAGCTGAAATAGACACATCCTCACATTCACCAATCTGCTCTACAACTTAAGTGACATATCCAGAACTCTCATGTACATGTATATCATTGTCCACCATCCCTTCAATAGTACCGCCCCTTACATCGTCTTCTCCATGAAACAAGTCATCTTCAGGTTTGCTTTCTTCATCCTGGTTGCCGTCATCGGTACTGACATCATGGTTCTCTGTAGTATGAGGTCCCCCACTATAGACATCGTTTTCGATCATATGACATGTTGATTTGGTACTGTTTCCACGATCAAACAGAAAACTGTCCACCGATTCAAGTTGATCAGTGTCAGCTTTCAGGTCACCTGTTCCAGGTGATTCAGAGTCCTCGACATGTTTATCTTCATTTTAGCCAGTCAGGTTAGCCGGTGACGGAATACTGCTCGTATGCTTCATCGTAAATGTGTTGGGGTTTTTCATGTTTAATCTAGAGCATTTAATGACACATCCCCATTTCCAGGCACAAAAGATTTGGATCTATGATAAAATAATGCTGCCACCATGCTTTCGTAAACCATTATAGGACGGATCCGAAAGTTATTGTTGGCGCAGTTTGAGTGAGTGTGTGAGTGAGGTATGGTTTAACGCCGCTTTTAGCAATATTCCAGCAATATCCCCGCGGGGATCAGAAATGGGCTTTACACATTGTATTCATATGGGGAGCATTTTGATGTATGATGGGGGAGACTGCCGAGTTTAAAACAGTTTCAAAGGAATGAAAATGCCAACTTATTACGGATCACCAGACTTGCTTTGCCACTGCTAAGTTTAACTGGCTAGATGTTTGTGATTCTTGTGCTTTACTTCAATGAACCTTTCATTTTATACAAATTGTTTGGTCCAGACTCGATTATTTACAGACAGCCGCCATATAACTGAAAAAACTGCTGAGTGCGGCGTAAAACTAAACTGACTCACTCACTCATTGTATGCAAAACAATTTGTAAATGCTAATACCGGACTGACTCATATTCAGTGATAAAATCGTTGTTTACCTCGTCGTGATATTTACAGGAAAATCATGATGCAAAGTAACGACAAAGCACCATTCGCGTACCATATGTACCATACCATAAAAGTTTATTTACATATTAATGTAAATAAAGAAACGTGTTATTATTGTCCACACTTGGTGGTTTATTAGCTGTCATGCACGTTATACCTGAATAGCGGCGCCCGATATGCATGTAATAACCTTTATGTTGTAAATAGGCACAGAGTTTCGAATCGGAACACTATTGGCGCAACTGTGTGAATTATGTAGTTTCCCTGATAAGTATGCACATATTATGTCATTCCTGGAGAACCCTATGTCTAAGTGTTCTGTTTGACCCCTACGCAAAGAATGTAGATGGTCTTACTACCTGCTTCACCATGGCTATTGTTCAAAACTCTGTGCATGACCACCTACGTTTCAGCATAAAACACTTACTTGAATCACAAATAACCAAACTTGTAAACGAATTAACCACATGACGTGTGATCTGTGTATTTATTACCTAAACAGACTTTATGCATTAAAATAGAACATGTCGTCATTGTCAACAGTGACATGACTGTTTTATGTCAAAGTAACTGGACTTGTCCACATGATACTTGTTTTGATAAGACATTTTGGAAATTAGCGCTGTGAGCGACTATCTGTTGTTCAAACGGTTCCTTCAGTTGCATTAGTGTCTAAACGGATGGATGACTGAAACGGGTGCGTCATTGGAATGCGAATAATCTATCTTCAAAGAATTGTAAAAGCAAAAATAAGCAAAATATGTTCACAGCTCAGATGATTTGTTCATAACAAAGTAGATACACTAAATCAATTCGCATTTATTAGGCATGGTGACTGGTCAGGCTATGAATGAAACTTTTAAAACTTTAATAAAGAACAAGCAAGGACTAATTGGCAAGTGAATACTGTGAAACATAATGTAGAATATGAAACACAGTTTGTTTAGAGAAATAATGTACAAAGAAACGTTTAGATTATATACTTTATAAAACACATATTCGCTTTCATAAAGAACGTTGACTGGTTTCAAAGTGAATATACAGAGTACATAATGATTTATGTTACTATATCTACTACTGAGTAGCACTAACGTCTATGTGTTAACATATGGATCATCTCCACTGACAGAGTTGGCAGAGAAGGGCCTTTCACCGCTGGTTATGTGGCCGTAGTTGTGTTCGTTACCAGCGTCGCTTGTAATACGTTGTATTCCATTGTAGACATTTGTGTCACCATGCCCAGACAGACATTCCAGTATTCGATGAAGTGTCATGGCTTCTTCCTGAAGGGCTTCGCCACCATGCTGCAGTGATAAACATGTGACAATATACACAACTGATGTGTTCAACAACAGACAGTACAACAAAATACCACAGTGACACTGTGTCATTAAAGACAATATGGAAGTACTCACAAATATATGACGAGGGACTACAATGATGACCACCAGAATCCCGCACACACCACAGATACGGCTATCACAACATCCCCACTGTTGCCTGAAACATGTGTATTGCAATACGTTTAGAAAATACGTGCAGTCTTGAGGATGTCTGCTGTTTCAGTTCACCTCTCAACTTCGGACCTCAGTTCAACTATTGACCACACTTAAAATTTAGCGGCCGTGTGATTTGGATACGTACTACTGCCTGCCAAACTGTATCTTCGATCACTGTATATGATTTCAAAATGTGGTCCTTCCGGTAGTGATTATCATCACTAAACATCTTAACTGAGAGATGTGTTGGAGACTAACAGCTGTGAGACAACTTAAGACAAGGATAGCTGTGGTTTTGCTTGAGATTTTCTGATCAGATGTAGTTGCAAAGGACGATGGATATGCTAGCTTTGTTTGTTTTCATTCATGGGTTATCTTTTCGCGGATATTTTGCAGTGAAAACATACAAATATATTTAATGGACCGGTACATCGGCGCAAGAAAAGATGTTTTTGATAAATATGTTCTGTAGAATGTGTTTTAATGTTATTTGATTAACCTGGTAACTTTAAATGCATTGCTGTTGTTCTTCAGTAAAAAATCCAACTACCGAAACAGCGGTGGACCTTCTGCGTTGTATAATGTACCGTGTCCTAGAGTAATGTTCATACTCGATACAGAAAAACACACTGCAAATACATGGGTAGTTAAATATCTCATGTGTAGCAGCTGGAAATCTTTGAGGTAAACCAAGGGGTGATAAAACGTCAGCATACACTCACCAATAGCTGTAGATTGTGCACGTGTCGTTGTTTCAGTTATTGGTGTGTCCGAAGTACTTGGATCGGATGTACTCTGTGAACGTGACGGCTGATGTGTTGACGTTGATGTAGTTGATGCATCCAGTATTTCTGAATCTATGAACAAGTTATATTTGTAGCAATCTCTAGGTCCGAGTTACTTGTGCATGTTTCAGTAAGATGGAAACTAGCAGAACATAAAGCCATATGTAATATTCATTTAAAGAAGAGGATGTGCGACACATTACGCTAAGTATGAGAATTGCACCAGATCCTATTATACTTTTAGTAGATTGATAAATGCTAGTAGTCATATAAAAAAGATGTGTTAATCATAGTTAATACAATTTCACGACATACGCTTAAAGATACGTATAAAGGCAATTAGACATACCATCAATACGTATCCATAGATTTGACCCATCATGATTATGGTTATCGTAGACTATAACTATTTCGGCAGCTGTTTCCGGTAATACCCTGTTGTACTGGTTCACGTTCACGTTTGTCCAGAGTTGTCTTCCGTCACCTGAGATGTTAAGCATCCCTGACCTCATCCGCTGTTCTACCAATGTTACTTGCAAAGTCTGCCCTGTGATCCTGACAACACAGCTGCTGTTCACACCGACACTGTCAGGGAAGCCGGGAGAATGGAGCTACACCGCCCCGTTTACTGTTGTTGTGACTGAACTACACATGTTCATACTACCTGAAATACAATGTATATCACAAGTAGAACAAAAGTTGTGATTACTGTTTACTGTTGTTTCTTCCGATAACAAAGCTATGTATCGTTAAATGTATATCTTTGTACAGCTAAAGTCACTCGGGTTAAACATTTCTTGATATCGTAACTGATAGATGCTACCTTAAGCTAATGATGAAACTTGGTGACTTCATATCACAAAAGGAAACATCGACCCAACGCCAGTGAATATCCAGTTTCTCTAAAGTCACGTAACATTCCTCGTGAATGTGTTAGTTAGCATTCTCTCGATTTTGGGGTCAAAATCAATACCTGAGGCAAACGGAAAGCATTCAAGTGACTGATGCTCAGGTACATATGTCACTAGTTGCCATTAGAAAACACTTAACACTAAGAACATTGAGATATGAACAGAGGATGACGTAAAGTGAGGTGAATTGAAATTGGGTTTAACGTCGTGCTTGAGAATATTTCGCTCATATGACGGCGTGCATGCGTGTGTATGTGCGGTTGCTTGTACGAGCCCAGACTGAAGCTGCTTTTATAGTGCTAGCCCACTGAGATACCATGCCGCAATGAAGCATGAATACCCCACTCAGACACATTATACTGACTCCGAGCCGACCAGTCCTTGTAAATGCCGAGCGCCAGGCAAGGACCAACAAGTACCATATTTTAACTTGTCTTTTGGTATGACGCGGCCGGGGATTGAACCCGCGACCTTCCGCTCTCCGGGCGGACGCTCAACCACTACACCACGGAGGCAGTCGATGACGTAAAGAAATTGTAAACACTGACAAAATACCAACAAACTTGTATACTATTTATTATTGTGTTTATCGAATTTTATAATCAAGATATTTATTTTATCAGATGAACATGATGTTAAATGTAAGATTATATGTATGGCATAAATATCGTTTAATCTTATAAAACACTCGTGAAGATCTGGATTAGAATTGGTCTTTAGCAACCAATGCTTGTCGTACGAAAAATATTATGTGTCTCTATCAATCTTATGGGAACTAATGGTTTGAATGGTTTGAATGAAACATCGATCGAATTGTGTGAACTGATGTCGAGAAATAGGGATGAGTATGTGGGTACTTGTTTTGCAGCCTCAAGCCTGAAGTGTTAACGCACATACGTAATATATTTCGGAGACAGGATGATGATGTAATCTGCGGCGCCATACTTGTCAGAATTCGAATATCAAAATGACTTACCAAAATACCAAAATCTTTTTGTTACAACCTTCATTAATAAACATTGACAGGTCGACAGGTAACACCAGGTCCAGTGATTGTTCCATGTTTCAGAATCTTGTTAGATTGTAAGTGGACAATTCCCTTGTTGTCCCAAAATGCTTAGCTTTCAATTAGTGTTGGCTTTCACATTGTATCCATAAGTGGCGACTTACGGGATCCGGTGGTCAGCCTCGCTGACTGGGTTGACACATGTCACAGTGGATTGATGCTCATTCTGTTTATTGGACTGTCTTGTGCAGACTCGATTATTTACAGACCGCCACCACATAGCTGGGATATTTGTTGTGAGTGAGTTAAGATTTAAAGTCACATCGGCAATATTTCAGCCATATCGTGACTAAAACTAATTCTAAATTCATAATACATACATATAATATATAAAACCCTGTCAGCAAAGGACAGTAAAACCACAAGATTATCACAGATTGAGTTAAAACTAGCTAGCATATATCTTAAAAAGTACAAAACTATTTTTGGACAATACAATGTAAAAATGAGCTATAGATCGCCATCAACTGAAGGTAGATCACCATACTAGGAACCATGGTGGGATATTTGTAGTTTTACAAACAACAAAACTATTAAACCTTAATGTGAGTGGAATTAATATGTGAAGAATAATTATTATGTATTATCAAAACAATCATTCTGGGGGAATAAGGATGACGGCTGATACAATGTTGAAGCGTCGTGCATGTCACAGCGTCAGTCAGTGACTGGTTGATGTGAAACTGTGAATCTGAGAAAGTCAATTAGTTAAAGATCTTGTATTTATGGAATAAAGTAGATATATAACGACCAGACGTACACCAAGTCAGATTAGTATTCCTCACTTACAGTCATATTTCACGATCTGTACTTAAAGGGATGAGAGGAGAGTGAAAATATATTTCAGCTGCGGACAGAATCAAAGATACAATTACTGGCCTGCAAGAAATTTTTAGGCGTTACACAATCTACCCCTAACGACATGGTATATGGAGAATGTGGGAGATTTCCAGTTTTCATTAATGCTCAAACTAGATGCTTAAAATACAGGCTAAAGATAGTACAAATGCATCACCGTCTCCCGAAAATTTCCTACAATATGCTCATTTAGACAGTAACGGCAAAGAAACTTGGGCAACCCATATAAGGAACCTTCTTTGTTCTAAAGGTTTTGGTATCGTCTGGTTAAACCAAGGCGTAGGTAATGTCAATGTTTTCCTGAACCAGTTTAGAGATCGCTGTATGTGTATTTTTCAACAAGAATGGCACTCGAGGTTAGAAGAAAGCTCCCGTTTTGATTGTTACAGACAGTTTAAGTCCCTTTTAGAACCAGAAAGATATTTATCCCTCGTGACTACAAAGAATCTGAGACTGCTACTTGTAAAATTTAGATTGGGGCTATTAGATTTAAAAGTAAATGAAGGAAGAAGACTGTCCATTGATAGAAATTATAGATCATGTCCATTTTGTAAAAAAGGCATTGAAGACGAATTACATTTTCTTGTTGAATGTCCAGTCTATGATAAAATCCGTTCTGATTATCTCCGTAACTATATTACAATCAGAAGTAATAATGCAGCATTTTACAAAATTGTTTCCTCATGCGATGTCTCCATTTTAAAAAGATTATCACTGTATATCCATCATGCTATTATGTTAAGAAAACAATTGTTATCCTCCTAAATAAGAACCTTCTTTGCAACCGATGTATAAGGGCCGGTGGCCTTACATACAAATAAACATATTTTGACTTTGACTTTGACCTCATCTCATCTCATCGAGTCTGTGGAAACGAGTGGTTGACAGCACGAGCAACAAGCTGTAGAGGGGGCTTAACACATGTGTCAAGGAATGTATTGTTATAACATGGACAATACCAGGGACAGCATAGGCTATGTAATTATGTATGTCTGGATCAATAGATAGATATGTCTCGATAGATGTGGTAATCAGGTATACAGGCATATGAAATTTACGTCTCACCTTTGATACAGTTGTACTTTATTTCAGCAGCAGCATCGGTAATATTGCAGTTGTTGATGGGGTGTATATGCATGGCTTCACGACATGACTGTTTCCCATTACAGTTGACGATCAGACCATGCTGGCTGCTGCTGAGGAGCTTACTACAAGCCTCTGCAGATTTCAGACGACATGTCGCTGTATCTCCATCCCCATACACCTCGTGCACGACATGTACCCGCTCATCGACAGAACAATGAAGCTGTACTATAAAGACTTTCGTCAAATCTTCTATACATCTGTTTCCAGGAACCTTTGAATATAATGTAATATCGTTCAGTCAAACACACTTGATACCATACACTACGAAGATATTACTCTAATCGGAGGTAAAATACTGTTTGTTTGTTTGTTTGTTTGTTTTTGCTCCCTAAAACATCTTTGAGACATACGTACATGTAATTCTGTGTGATATATAGAGAATACTACACTCGGTCTCATTACATACGGATTATACGAAACGAGTGTTCTTCCTATGGTATCTGACCGAGCGAAAGCGAGGTCAGATAACATAGGAAGGTCACGAGTTTCGTATAATTCGTATGTAATGAGGCCGAGTGTGGTATTTTATTTATTACCCACGTCTTACATGCATTAAATTGACAAAATAGCTTATTTTTGTTATGTTTATGGTTTCAAACCGAAACCGGTTTCATAAAGAGGTTGCGGAAGAGTTTGTAATGTAGTACACTATTTGCATGACGTCACACTCTAATGACGTCACTGCCTCGGTAACCGACGTCACGATGCATGTCAGTTGTCATCGCCTCGTACAGCCTCCTACAGTAAACTACTCCGTAACACCTCGTTTCTTGGTTTCCAACTGCTTCATTCGGCTAACATCACTGGTGGAAACATTGTATTTATGTTTTTCGACGGATATGATGTCTCAGTTTGACTAACAATTAAACAGCGACACGGTAACGTTCGCAATGTTTACATTCCCACAATGCATTTAAGTTGCAGAATGAATGAATTCACGTGCTTGTTATGAATGAAAACATAGTTACGTCAGAATGTGACGTGATTGAGAGGTCATCAGTTATCCAATCAAATCGTTAGAATCTCAGGTCATGTCGTTACGACACAGGTCAACGCGATACGACACTCGTATGACGTACGAGATTAGTATGCAACTACCCATACGTTGATCACGTTGGTAATAAATAGAGAATCTCACCCAAGTGCCTTCTGATATCAATTATATCAACACGAGTTGATAAAGTTACAAATATCCGAGGCTTGCCGATATATTTGATATCAGAAGACACGAGCGTGAGATTCTATTTATCATCCAAAATCACTCTTCATTAATTTTCAATGAAAAATGTACATCTCTGAACATGGTACTGCCATTAGACTTGCAGTGCAGCGATGTCATAGAATTGTGACGTCATCAAGTACGTGACGTCATGGCATTGTCAGGGCATTGTACAAAATCTACTGTCAAAACGATATCTCCTAGGAGATATCGTTTGATCTCACACAAGCGATATCTCCTGTGGAACACAGTTTTGGATGATAAAAAACATTATCCTATCAATCAATTACAGCTGAAAACTAAATTTCCCAATAATGTCATAAATGAAATGTTATATTCCAGTTTACATGGCGAATTCATAAAATACGCCATTTAAACCGAAGCATGTCATATCTGTCAATCTGTGTACTCACCGTCTGTTGACATAATGTAATACCCATACGCTATGAACACTGTCACAACAAATACACGTCTGATAGTCATGGCTGTTTTAGCGTCTTCGAAGTCCACACATAAAGTTCGAAAATGTTATATTACCACATGTGCCTCTTCTTCTTTGAGTCACTTGTCTGTGGTTGCCAAACATTTGATCAAGTACTACCCGTGTCATTGTCAAACCATATCCTTACAAGTAACAGAACAACACAAGCAAGGGGTCGAGAGACAGGGAAGTGAAACAATCGCAATTGCTATTTCAAAATCAGCCATGGCTCGCTGTATGTGTAGCCACAGTGGCACACAATGCAGGGACCTGCCGCGTGACAGGGAAATGAAATAACCGCATTGACAAGAACTGCTTTATATATATCAAAGGCGAGTGGTTTCTTAACCGCTACTTCGTGAGAGTGTTGGTAGAGAGTGTCATGTGTTCTCCTGGTGGGTGGGGTTACGGCTGAAGGGATGGAGAGTTATCGTGGCGGGTGGGGAGTAGTCCTGCAGGGGTGGGCTGGGGTTACTGCTGGAGGGATGGAGAGTTTTCAAGGCGGGTGGAGAGTAGTTCTGCAGGGATGGGGTGGGTTTGTTGGGTAATCCTTAAGGGGTAGAGAGTAATCATTGAGGCCAGGGAGTAATATTGGAGGAGTGGGGAGAAATCCTGGAGTGGTGGTGAGTAACGCTGGATATAATTTGATCTATCTTGTGAACAATGATACACCAATGGTTACAATATATGCCTGAGTCTTACAACTAGCAATGTTACAATGTGAAAACCTTACAACTGCACACACCTTCAATCTACCTTGGCTGTGTCACGCTACCTGGAAATAATCGGGTTTGTGCCGGATACGTTAGTGACTGAAATCGCCATAATCGCGTCATGACCTTGATTATGTCAAAATCTAGGAGTTACAACGTCCGGCCAACGTCCGATGCCATCTTTTTCCGTACCTTTGGTCCACGTTTGTTATGCTGGATCAACAAATCGACCCTGAGATTTCCTCCTAAAACAGAACATTACTATGCCATAAAAGCGGTTCAAACGTCGTTCTTGCTGATGAATCCTCTTCTAATCCATGTAAAATATGTCACGTAAAAGACAACAAACATATGTTATACCTTACGTACGTGTGCTTGTTGATTTGCAACATATGTATATATAGGTGTGTGTGTGTGTGTGTGTGTCTGTGTGTGTATGTTTCCCTGAACTTAGTACTATCTGAAAGCATTGTCACCGCGTGTTGCACCGATATGAGAGGTGTGTAGATCATGGGTTGCAATATGATCATATGATATAACACTGACAACAAGCGAAACGTGGAGTAAAATTGTATGAATTGATGTTTGTGTTCCTATGTCTTCAAGTATGAAACATCAAGCCAAATCTATGTTTACTAATCATCTGCTTCATTTTTCATACTTACAATACAAAATATACATATAATCTAAACCCCTTCCGTCACTAACGTTCATCATCACGACAGATGTAAAACGTATATAAAAGAATATTAAGTATACGATAACAGAGCAAATGTTTCCCCAGGCGCAAAGAAACACGTTATCGTAATTTATATGATAATCTTTCTCTTGGTGTCAATACAGCTGTAGGTCAAGCTCTATTCCGATTGAATATGACTTGTTGTGCATCACGATGATCTTTGTTTACTCTTTCAGCTTAAACTTGAAGCTTAAATCATTGGAAGTTTGAATGCATTTAGATTTATTAACAGAAAAAAATTATGATCCTTTATACTCAACACGGATCACAAAGGGCTGGCTGGCTTACCCTGTGAATAATGGATATTCTCCCAGTGGAGTCGAACTTACACAGATCTAAACAGCACTTTATCAACCAGCCATGATTGTATGGACGTTATAGAATCCCTTCATTTCTTAGACAAAGCCAGTCATCTCAGAGTTTCCTGGGTAACACCGTATGCCATGGTTCAGAAATAGTTCTTCATACATCGGCAAACTAATACTAAACGAAATAACTTTATTCGAATATATCTAGACCTGTATACTAAGATCCTTAAAGCATGCAAACTACTGTTTGAACAATAAATCGTACATGCATCAAGGTGTACTGGGGTAAGGTACTCTTCAACACAACGCTGATCAGTGCAGAACACTTCATTCACATAGAACACTCAGTCAAACCTACACTATTGTTTACACGGTGTTTTGGAAGGTGTACGAGACTGTAAGACCCTTGTAAATCCGTATCCCCTGAGGCGCAATCGAAGGAAAGACGGAATTTACCAGGGTCTTGCAGTCCTGTACATCCTTTCAAAACACCGTGTGACGAATTCATTATCCTTAAGATCTTTTATATTTAGCTTAACTTTAAACAATAACATTCAATCATCGGCAGAATGAGAGGCAAAGCGTTTCGCCGTGATTTTTCCTGAACGGTCATAAAGGGACACAACTTATGATAACTTTATGATAAGAATTATCGAATTAGAGGTTTTGTTAAACAAGTGGATTACAGAAACATTTTACTTTTGGGATATATTTATTGACACAAACAAATAAGAAATTATGGCAACAATTTTATTACTCTGTTTATACTCATAACTGTATACACCAACTCTGAAATTTCGAAGCGATCAGCCGTTTGGCTGACACATTCAATCTAAGGTCAAGGTCATTCGTACAACCCGTGTAGTGTGCCACGTGATAGATTTGATGGGGTGTACGAACGCAAATCCGCCTACGACGTTTGGTATGCTTTGACTATTGATTAATCAGAATTCGTCAAATTTATCTTAAAGGTAATAATCACAGTTGTAGATATCTGTTCTACATAATGTTCTTGCATACACCAGTCAGTGTCCGTGATGGTCACAAAGCTCGTGAATGACGGACCCGTGAAGATCCGGGTTCGAATTGGTCTTCTGCAACCCATGTTGTCGTAAGGGGCGACTACCTGGATTGGGTAGTCAGGCTCGCTGACTTGGTTGACACATGTCATCGTATCCGAAATGCGTAGAACGATGCTCATGCTGTTGATAACTGGATTGTCTGGTCCAGACTCGATCATTTATTCGAGCATTTTTTATATTATTCATATAGCTGGAATACTGTTGAGTGCGGCGTTAAACAACAACCAAACCAAACCAATCGTAACTGTAGATTTACACAAATGTCATAATTAGCCATCATGATATTATTACCGAGTGAAAATGTCTTCTCACAATGTTTAACAATGACACATCACGTACTGAAAACTCTTCGACTATTACACATGTATATCCTTTGGTATTGCTATCCATCGATTCCAAGTATATACAGATTATGTAAAAACAGATCTAATACGTTTACAGGTAATGTATGACAACTCCATATGACATCATAAGATGTTAGCAAACTCATCAGCGATGGTTGGATTGCCATGGACAGACACAGAAAGGAAGCATAATCAACTGCAATGAGCGAGCACTGTTTACACGAAACTGTGGTAGAGGTCATTAGACATCATGTCAACCTCCTCCTTGGCTGATCCTGCTGTATTGATATCTTGGGTAGCTGAAACAGACACATCCTCACATTCACCAATCTGCTCTGCAACTGTAGTGTCATATCCAGAACTCTCATATATATCATTGTCAACCATCCCTTCAACAGTACCGTCCCTGACATCTTCTTCTCCAGGATACAAGTCATCTTCAGGCGTGCTTTCTTCATCCTGGTTGCCGTCATCGGTACTGACATCATGGATCTCTGTAGTAGGTGGTCCCCCACTATAGACATCGTTCTCGGTCATATGACATGTTGATTTGGTACTGTTTTTACGATCAAACAGAAAACTGTCGATCGATTCAAGTTGATCAGTGTCAGCTTTCAGGTCGCCTGTTCCAGGTGATTCAGTGTCCTCGACATCTTCATCTTCGTTTGAACCAGTCAGGCTATCTGGTGACGGAGTACTTATCGGATGCTTGATCGTAAATGTGTTGTGTTCATTCATGTTTAATCTGGAGCTACGTGGCAAGACTGTAGAGTACCCGTCCTGTAGTCGGAGCGCCCTGGTTCCTTCTTTGCCTCTTGAGTCTGTATTTAAGGACACATTTCCAGGCACAAATGCTGGATCTATGATGAAATAATGTTGGCTGCCATCATGCTTTCGTAAACCAGGTGTCCTATTGTGGGGAGAGTGGAGCTCCAGAGGTCTGTCAATGCCACCGTTGTGAGAAGGAGTTGCAGAACGGATAGCTTTATCTTTTTTACACCTGCAACACAATAGCACGTGATGAATATTATGTATTCTAACTATTCCAATGAATGTTCGTGATCATGTCAATGTAGATTGAGTAACGAGAGTAATAGATGGGTGGGGAGTAATACTGGAGGGATGAGGAGTATTGCTGGAAGGGTGATGAATAATGCTGGATGGATGGGAAGTAATCCTGAAAGGGGTGGGGAGTAACCTTGGAGGGGTTGAAAGTAATATTTGAGGGTGGGGAAACGAGTGTTGTGATGAAACCTCAACGTCATATTTGGCTTAATAGCGGTCATGATGTTCTAAACATTTATCATGCCTAGACGTTGGGGAGGGGATGTATGATTTTTATAGAGTAGCATGTAGAATGTACAATGGCATTTACAACATTGCTGACATGTACATGTGTACAATATTTTGATGACCCCCCTACCTCTCCAGAGCAAAATGGGTGACCTCCCCTTAAAATCATCATCATCACCCCTGTCAAATACTGTTGAATAAAGCTTGAATGGTATACAATGGTTGAGTAACAATCATCAATGTCCAATATACTCAAGGACCAAAAAGACAAAACAGTAATGGAGGTTATAAGAATGGATCACTGATGATTAAAAAGCAAATCCGACTGAAACTGTAGCAGCGCACCATTCACTTAGCAATGTCAGAAAAAGTTTGAAATTATTTAAGAATGCATCATCAATGTGCTGGAAGACTAATAATCATTGCTACATGATTCAAGGTGTATATTATGAACCTACCTGCACAGGACTACTGCGACTACGACGACAACTATGACAGCGACCACACAACATGCAGCGATAGAAGCAACAACGACAACCAGATCTGTAAGAACAAGACATGTAAGTTTAAAATTTGAATCATTTGAGTATTTCGAAATGATATGTTTTGACATCAGTGAATACCTGACATTTTTAGCAAATCCCTGCCTATTTGGCACATAACATTTTCTAAGAGCAGGTCACCAGTACTGTGGCATAATCCTTTTCCTTATGGATCTGATGACATTCCTATATTGTAAATTAGACGTTGCAGGTACGTGAAAATAAAACCAATACATTTGGTTGTGAAATATATTAAATTTCGTTTTACAGAAAATAAAAAGATTCCAACAAAGGTTAGAAGTACATTGTAATAGAAGGTCTGTACTCAATATACACATTCTACAAGCACTTCGGTTAACTATAATACTAGTACGATATTCATTGATTCAAATTGGAATAAACCCACCTTCATCTGGAGTCCGTGGAATATGGGTTGTTTCGTTCGATGTCATTCCAACTGTCATGTTATCTGTGATGATGAAATAGGGCAAGACGTTGTTACAATATATCAGGAAATTAGTGTCTGTATTATTTAAGTTTCTCAAAATAAGACCAGCATGTGTCAATCATTGAGAACACTTCAGATGGTGAAGGATTGCCTCATTGACGCATGAAACGCCTTGGCATACATCAATGTATCAAACTTTTATTAATCTCTGAAACCTTTGCAAAAGTTACGTTGATACACATGTAAAATGCACCATGCTGTATTTACCTGCAACAGAAGTGGTCGTGGGAGCAATTGTCATTGTAGTAACTGTTGTCTTCCATGTCACCTCAACCGTGGCTGTGGCAGTGACTGTATCTATACCTGTGTATGTAACTAAAACAATGTAAAATAAGACGTTACATAAGCTGATCTGGAACTGGTTCAAGATGACTGCGAAAATACTCCCCTTCAAACAATGTGTGTGTGTGTGTGCGTGTGTGTGTGTGTGTGTGTGTGTGTGTGTGTGTGTGTGTGTGTGTGTGTGTGTGTGTGTGTGTGTGTGTGTGTGTGTGTGTGTGTGTGTGTGTGTGTGAGAGAGAGGGGAGTTCAGGTATAAAACACAGTCAAAATTGCAGGCGAATGCAAATTGTACATTTTCTTGGTTAATTTACAGGAACAGCATAGTTTAGACGGTTTCATATTGTCAGTCATTAACAAAATACATATGTATGTGTTAGCGTGTGAGTGAGTGGCGTTTCAGCAGTTATAACATGCATGTGTCCCATTGGAGGGAAGTCAGTTTATAACTTAAGAGAGAAAGCAGATGATATTTGAGTATTGGAGTATCTCGCATTTGATGGAAGGCTCGCTCTTAATTAAAATTTATCCAGGGTGGGCGGTCATGTCACGTGATTAGGACCTCGAACCTTCTGATCCGAGGTCTGACGCCCTGTCCACGTGACCACACCTGCTATAATGGCATTTCAACGAGTTTTATCAAATATATATTGTCTCAAACTGCTTACGTATAAAGTTTTAATTAGATATATGCATACCCAAGGTAGTAGAGAAGGCGCTTGTTGACACAGTTGACAGTGACAGTGTTTGCGTGTCAGTTGAGAGAGGAGCGCTTGTTGACACAGTTGACAGTGTTTGCGTGTCAGTAGAGGGGGCGCTTGACAGTGTGCGTGGCACAGTTGACAGTTGACTGTGTTGCGTGTCAGTAGAGAGGGCGCTTGTTGACACAGTTGACAGTGTTTGCGTGTCAGTAGAGAGGGTTCTTGTTGGCATTACTGATTGTGTTACCGACATCCTTTGATTGGTTACGTCATGTTGAGGCGAAGATCCTTCAGACATAGGATCAATAAGGTTGAAGTCGGCGATATCGTAATCATTCTTCCGTTGAACGTTACAGACATCGGACTTGAATCTAGGGATGAAGCAATGTTTCATATTTGTACTGATTGTTTAGTTTAAATCGCTTAAGCATATGTTGAACCATACAGCCAATACAACGGGTTCTGATCATTTAAGGTTAAAAGGTATTAACACTAAAACTGGAAAATATTAAAGAAACACTTGAATTTTCCGGTGTTCCTATATTTTCTCTCTAAGTATATATAAATACATGCCATAAGAAAGATCTGTGACATAAAAGAACAGAGATGCAGCTTATAATTAAATGTAAAATAGAATAATACTCACCAACAACACTTATCCACACGTTTGATCTATTATTACCTCCGTCAGTGTAAGATATCGCAACTTCTGAATATTGTTCTGTCAGTTTTCTGTTGTATAGTTTTGTGTTCTCATTTGACCATTTATTGCCGTTACCTGAAATGGTCAAGTTTCCCCATTCAAACTCTGCTCAACCAGCGTCACTTGTATAACCTTCCCAGTGATCCTCACCACGCAGCTTTTATTCAACCCAACACTGTACGGGTAGCCTGGAGAGTGAAGGTACACAGACTCGTTTGTAGTTGTGTTGATGGTGTCAAAGCCGCATATGTCCATACTATCTGCAAGCATAAGACAAGACCCTGTCGATGTGTTGGCACTAACATCATTTTTTTTATTAAAGAACTAAGTGTACACACCACGCCCATGCTTGTTTTGGATTTGTTGGGTTTGAAGGTTGTTTGTTTTGGGGTTAGTTTGTTGTTGTTTGTTGTTGTTGTTGTTGTTTGTTTTGTTGTTGTTTTGTTGTTGTTGTTGTTGTTGTTGTTGTTGTTGTTTTGTAATGAGGGCCTGATCAGTTATTGATAAGGGTGTGTTGCACGAAAAGGTGAAACCTGTATTTGAGGGACATGCAAACGTGTTCCATAAATCGAGGGTGGTAACTAAATATGAGCATAATAAATTCCCAATCCCTTTGGATTCCGTCTATCGGGTGACTGTTATAAGGGTATGTTCAAAGATAACGTTAAGAAACAATATAGCAGATACGAGTATTCCTATATACCCATATCAGTAATCAAGAGTTAGGAGTGTATGTGTACATGTAAGAAATTAGGGGAATTACTAATCAATCTGCCAAACGGCTTGGTGACAGAATATGTTATATCTGCTTTTTTCTATAGTAGGGTTAATAAAAGAAGGATTTAGCATCCTTCATCTCAGGTCGCATGGCCGTAAGAGGTAAATGGGAATAAGAATACGTATGTCTATAACGTCAGCTTTACAATAACCACATTTATTAGTTACAATGTTGAAATAAAGGTAGAATGTGGTTTTATATATACAAACACATGATTACAGTTATTACAGTGGACTCTGTCAATACCGGCCTCTCTTAACACCGGCACTCTGTCTACATCGGCACAAAGTTTCAGTCCCGGCAGAAATGCACGTTATTATCATTTAGAAACTTCTGTAAACATCGGCATCTGTCTATTCAGGATATCGGCATTGTTTTTCAGTCCCAACGAACAAGTTGTTATGAAAACGAATCTGTAAAAACCGGCACATGAAAGACGGCGTAACCCTTTGATGCAATTAGGTCCAAATGATGTAACAACACAATTCGCTGTGACTCCCGAGATTATTCAGAAACGGGAAGTGTTAATCAGTATCTTGTTAATCAGTGAGTGGTACGTAACACTTACCCAGAGTAATTAATACATGTAGTGGGCAGTTTGACTGTATAAACAAGCAAGTGTTTACATTTTGTTGATTCGCGGGTATTGACTCCCGTGATTATTCAGAAACGGGAAGTGTCAATCAGTTTCTTGTTAATTAGTGAGTGGCACGTGTCACTTACATAGAGGCGAATCGTTTGATGGCGTGTATCGTTCGAAAGCTCTGAACATCAACAATATCACTGTACTCTTGCCGAGAGTATTTTCACATTTGTAAGAAGCGATTTTATTGGATAAAGATTGGTTTCTAACGACGCTTTTTCACTACACTCTGCTTATAAGGGTCGTGATTGGTCAAAATCAGACACGTGACCTAAGCAGCCAATCATATTATGGAAATGGATACCGTCCTCGTAAACGAAAAGTTTTAGATTAAGACGAAAGTTTTTGGGTAAAATAATGCTATTCTGAACATATTAAGAAAGACATCGCTACCTATACGTAAATCATGGAACGTATTGGACATATCGTGCTAGGTTATGGCCTATGACAAAAATGCTTCACGCATATATTTTCACATTAAGCATCGTGTGAAAGCCGAGATGTAACTTGTCAGTGACTTGACTTACATTGCATGATCGCTCAAAAGAATGGAAATAGTAATTTTATATGTACGTTTGACAACTTTTATGAATGTTATTGTTGATTTCAATTTATTTAATGATTTCCTCGATGTTTGAAACATCGTTACTTTGCTCTTTGACAATGCTATTGTAGACCCGCTGCCGAAGCATAAACAAGAATCGTTGTTTGCAATAACATTGCGAAAAATAGTTTATAATTTTAATTCTGCCGATAATATATGATCAGTTGAAATTTAATAAGAGATTTCAGACATTTTTATTTGATTTAAACAACATGAATGTGCATTCAGACACTGCCTTGTTTCTTATTCAAACATCTTGTTAATGCTAAAGTGACAGTACGACAGCGAACTTCCGTGTGCGCAGGCGTCATAAGCGAACCTAGCTAAACCGGCACTCTGTCAAAACCGGCATTTTTACTTGGTCCCGACTGATGCCGGTATTGACAGAGTACACTGTAGTCTCTCGTGATTCACATTATACTACCCATCATAAGTTTAGACTCGCCAGTGTAAATGTAGCCACTTACTTCAGTCAACTGTTCTAAACTAGATTTTGCAAAATAATCCCTGCTGTATAAAGGTACTGTTTGCACATGAATTGAGGTATTGTAAAATATATTCGTAATATTGAAACTATTTTTGTCAAGAGTTCAATAGATGGTGAAATTCAGTGGAAATTGGCGAATTCTTAACAAAAGTTTACACCAAAACGCAGCTGTTCACATGACGATATTGGCTTTTTTCAGCAATTTGATGCATGATCCTCCTGCAATTCATCTGAATAAGGCTTGCAGTTCATTCACCCAAGTTAGTGGAGAAATTCATCTTTGATGTAACCATATATATACATAACATATAGTGAGTGCTTGAAGTGAGTCTAAACTTTTGATGGGTAGTAAATATTACATATACGTATGAGGAATGAGGAATGTATTAAGTATGAGTACAGTCGAATTACTGTTGTAACTTTCAGATATTGACATCAGAATAGTGTTTTATAAACGCCAGTTTATAGTACGTAACAACAAGTTTATGGGAGCAAGACAAAAAGGTTAATGCTGCTATTCCATGAATAATTACGTTTATGACGGTTAAAGAGGTATATGGTTAAGTTAATTTCATATGAAAACAGATTCTAAAACTCACTTGGAATACGTACGTCTTGTAAGTTATATCTAATCTTTCACTTGAAATTTATCATGAGATGAAACAAATAGATCAATATGAAATCTATACCAAGGTTTGTCTAACTGATCATGATTTAATAGACAGTAAAACCATAGAAACTACATCGAATGTAAACTGTGTAGACAGTAATGCTGTAAATTACATGGATATGGAAAATGGCGAATTATATGAAGGTTTCGCGTCACACCCGCTACGAAATCGTAAGTTTGTGATATAAAGTGTGACGAGAGATTATTGATATTTTGCTCTAAATACACTTCTGCAAATCATCTTTGCTATTTCACGCAGTCATATCATCTAGTAGAGAGTGATATCTTGTTTTGGTTTGATACTCGAGTGGGAACTGACAACAAACATCGAGTTTTGAAGATAATCCACCTACCACTAACAAGACAATTTTGCAGTTTACAGATGTACGCCAAATTCTGTAAACAACCAGGTGTACATTGTCATTAATGTTTAAAAAGTCAAACCAGAAAAAGGCATAGGTTGCTTGTGCCTACTGTCGTCATACTTCGTGAATCCAAGCAAAGTAGATCTACAGCAAATTGTGTTCGTTTCTCTTTTCTAAGGACTTAAAAAAGAACTATTTTAATAAGAAAGGCAAACACCAAACTATCTCATAAAATGTTCTGGACATTCCTCGTTGGGACCGTCGATGTGAGGACTGCGTTTTGGAAGCGACGATTGTTGCAGGTGAGCGATACATTTCAAAAGACTGCAGTTAGCTTTGAGCAACATGAATCTCGATACCTATAAATTTCACTGTGTAAATGTTATCGCCTCCAGGTAGCTACCAAAGCAATTTCCCCTATTGTCGATACAAAATGATGACAATATTTTCGCGCACGCCCTAAATTCGTTACCCGATACTTTCTCATAACCACTGTTACGTTACTGATAATCAATTATGTATGTATTTAAAAGTAAATGTGTTCTCAGAGTGTTTGTGTGTGTGTGCGCGCGTGCGCGTGCGTCCGTGTGCGTGTGCGTGTGCGCGTGTGCGCGTGTGTGTGTGTGTGTGTGTGTGTGTGTGTGCGCGCGCGTGTGTGTGTGTGCGCATTCGCGCTTGTTAGGGTGCTTCTTGTATATTAAGTATTTTTTTTAAGAGTAACTTAACGACAGAGGTGTATTCATGGTAAAACGAACTGTTTTTGAAACGAACTGTTTTCCATATCCTTAACTTTCCCCGTATTTCGCAATAAAACGATATATTAGTCAATACTTACCATTTGAAGACAAAATCAAATGCACAGAACACAGGAATACTACTCCTTTAAGCACAAGGACAGACTGCATAGTGGTGATTTAGATCCGAGAAGCTTCAGAATGGCTTTTGCATGGTATATAAGGACAGACTCATTTACGTAGCATTTACGTAGAGACGGTTGCTCTTTCAAAACGTCCACATATAGCTGAAACATGCCATGCGATGGTAGCAACACCGTCTTCCTTCCTGGTGTCAGTTTGTGTCCATTCTTCTAAAACCGTGTAATGAAAGTCCGAATGTAATGTCCCAGATATATTACAAAACAAACACACATTATATGATTCGAGAAAGTACAATATGCTTCGGTGGTAATCCGTATGTTAGAGTAAACACATGTCGAACACTAACACAACACCAATCCAACCCTCACTGAAAAATATCTGTAAAATGGTTAACACGTGAAGCAAGGTTATGAGAACACGACAGTAAAATAACTATTATGGAATACATAAGTACCATACATTAAATATCAACGTGAAAAGACACTGTAATTTAACCTCTCTCACACGAGGTACCCAGGTGAATGAATGCATTGCTATGATGCAGTCAAGCCTATCTCACGGGTCGTGAGAAGGGGAAGTAGAAAAAACATTTTCCTGAGCTGTAAAGCTATCAGCTATTCCCAATGACATCGTGAGATGATTATTAACTGATCACACTGGCTAAAGGACAATGGTGTAGGTGGTGAAAGGGTAGCTTGAATTACTAGATGTTCCAAACCAAAGGCTTTGTCAGCTAGGACGTAGTTCGTCCCGCTGCTCATGTGAACGTGTTTTCAATATGCCCAGCCTCACTGGTGACACTGAACTAGAAGAGCCTGATATTTATATCCGTGGAAAGAATGGGAGAGAGGACAATCGCTTACAAGCACAACCTACATATTTATGCTATGAAATATTTGTATATGCTAATGTTACAACAAAGTTAATGATGATGGAAAATATTCATTATTATCATACAGATCCACGAGCGATTATGTATCCATCGTGGTGATTTAAAGGGCATGGTCACCCAGCCATCTATGGCCCCACAATTCACCGTGCACAGGTGAATGAATACCTTACATGGTTGACATATTGGACTCGTACAAACCGCATTACCCTCTCATCTCGACAGTAACTGTTTATTGCGTTTGACAGGGACCTGTGCTCCTGACATCAGGGTACCCGTGAAGATCCGGGTTAGAACTGGTATTCAGCGATCCATGCTTGTCGTAAGAGGCGACTAACAGGATCGGGTGATCACTCTCCCCGACCTGGTTGGCACGTATCATCGTTTCCCAATTGCGTAGATCTATGCTCATGATGCAAAGTCCAGACTGGATCATTTACAGACCGCCGTCATACAGGTGGAAAACTGCTGAGTTCGGTGTTAAACAAACAACAAACAAACCCGACATCAGGGTGTCATAAAATAAGAACGAATGCTCGTAAATGTGGTAACGGTTCACAGTTTTATTATTAGCAGATAGCAGTAACTCGACAAAATCCGTGTGAACACTGACAAGGATCGCTTTCAGCATAGATATCTTGTGGTGTTGGAAAACGTTTTTCGCGTTTGCTATACATGATGGTGAACTTCTAAGCCGGACATTCCTCTAACAGTTAGCTGACGCACTGTCAGCGATCGTCAAAAAGCGGTCGTCTAGCTTGATTTGTATCGATGAGTGCTTTGGTCGTTGCTTTGATAATGAGTCGTTAGTTTGTTAGTCCCTGTTCGTCGGTTTTACATAATCTTAAACGTGTAAGAGAAGATGTTCTTCCTTGGTAAGCTGAGTAGCCTGTAGCAGACATACCCTATAGGTGTACTCTATAGATGGATTATTTAAACAGAATAACTGGTCTACGGATATTCGCAACTGCTGTCGTTAAATATCTGCAACATCTACTAGTATAGGAACAGGAAATATTGCTAATGTTCTTTCTGACAAACCGGTATATGATGAAGGTTAATGCTAATAATACGCTTCTTTTCAGGTTCCATCTTAATGTAGAAGTATATCATGACATTGTATATATTGCATAGTACATCTTCTGATCTGAAGCAAAATGTATATACTAACAGAATGTGCCATTCAGTAAGGTTTTTTTTAAAAACACAATCAAAGCACACAACTTATGTAGAACTTCGGACAGTGGAATAAGTTACTACGATCAACATAATACGACCGTTTTTCGTGTTTTGAACACTTCTTACAACGTCGAGGAAATTATAACATTGCAGTTATATATTTCAGTATAATCTTTATTCCAAATGATAACTATGAATATGCGTAAATATGTGTATAAGATTTTAACTCGTTCTAACAAGCAGTCTATTCCACACAGTATATTCGCAATACATATCTTCGTTTGGATTTCAACTTTTTGAACTGGGGGTGTTTTTCTCTCGCTGTTCCTGATACTACACTTGCAGATTGGCTACGTTTAAGGCATCTAAAAACAAATATTGTCTTTATTTAATGTTGATCTATACACGTGATAAAATATGGTCCTCCTCAACCAGCGTCACTACAACAACTAGCAAATCTATTTTCCTCGGTTAACAGCAGATGACGAAACATTCTTTCAAAGGCAAATGGCATTTGTTTTGAGGAAAAACCTTCAGAGTTTCTGGGTCAGGGTAAGTTATCTTCTATCGTCGTCAAAATACTCACATTCCTTAACAGTTCTGTTGTAACATAACGTGCAACTTCTACCAGTGTCACTGTAGCTATCTTCCTCACTGCTTTTTTGCTGTATTCTGTCGTAGGTCATGCCGAGTCAGATTCGAATAAGTGTTGGTATCATTTGTAACACGAGTAATGTCGTTTGGGATTTCATATTGACCGGACGTTTGTAGCTCTTTTCCGGGGGATGTTTCTTAATGAAAGTGCCTGCGACTTATTTTTTGGGTTTCTTTCTGTGCTGCGCTTTGCTGCACAAATATAATGGATTAAAATTATTGAAATATTGACCCCAGTTAGCCAATAATGAAACGTCATTATCACTATTAGAATGTTTATATCAGTATCTCTGGCGTCTTGCCTTGAATGTTTGGTTATACTGATGTAGCGGCCATAAAATTTCCGAGTCCCGTGCTGGCATTCGAACTACGGACCTTCTGGTCCAAAGTCCAAAAAGGTTTTGGAAAAGACAGATATATAGGGGAAATGTCCAGATGAGTTTATGATATTATGGACCATACTGAAACTTTCCAAACTCGAAAATGGAGTGATTCCTGCCATTTCAAACCCTTTTTGGATAGAAGTCTTTAAAGATTGGTCTAATATTGTTAGAAGATACAAAGGACATGTAAAAACTGATTGTGACTCAATGTATTTAGAATAATGATAACATAAAACTTGGAAATAAGACTATTTCTTACAGAAGCTGGGGAAAACAAGGTATAATATTCGAGAACGATTTATTGAATGAAAACGGCAGATTATATTCGAAGGGAGAATTGTGTGCCTTATACACCCTTGACACAGACTTTCTTAAATATGAGGGCGTTAAACGAGCAGTTTTATGTTATGCAAATTCTACAAAATCAACTATGTGGATAGCCCTAAATGTACCTTTTGCAACGAATATGACGAAACAATTTATCATATCTTCTGGGAGTGTGACAAGGTGGAAAGCATATGGCGTGAAATGAAAATATGGCTCAGAACTGTAGACGGAGAATTGAGTTTTACAAATTCCATAGGAATGTTTGGGATTAAAGAAAAGCATGACTATGCACTAAATGCGATAATTATTTTAGTCAAGAATAGCATATGCAACTGTAGTAAGAAAGGTTTCATTCCAAATGATTTATACATCAAGGGACAAATCATAAAATATTATAATACCACAAAATATGCATACATTAACCTTGACCAGGAACCCTACTTCCTAAAACTATGGTCCAGTTTACACATGCTATTTAGAACCGTTGAGTAGGTAAATTATTTCGATGTATAGATCTTGAACTGTATACTTTTGCATATGTCAACCTGTATGTATACCGGAAAAAAGCGGGGGCGGGGGGGGAGGAAATATGTTCTAATACACGGTGAGCGATACACAGCACAACACCAACCAAAACTGTTTTCTGATTTTATAATGATCGGCTGTATACATTGTGTACAGCTTCTTGGTTTTATGGGTCTTTTTATAACCTTTTGAATTGGTGATGTTTTGTATCATTTCATTAGAACGAGATTAGATTAAATCAGTGATAACGCGAATATGTCTTACCTACACGTTCAGCCATATTTATAAATGTCCATTTAAAGGGTTTTATTGAGATCTAACATGACGAAAACCATTGTTTAATTTAGCATTAATTTCAATGGTTAAGTGATTCTTATGATTGAGCTTGAAACGTCTTGAATGGACATGAATCTTAACGTGTGGCTTTATAAGGCATAGTTTGATGCTAATCCAAGCTGGGTTGCTGTTTTCATCTTATAGGTTTGTTTGAGAACGTTTTAAATCATTGTACTGCAATACGTAAATGACTGTCGTGTTTTCCTTCTCCTGACCTGTCAAGTCAGACCTGTTTATATGGGGCCTGTCTGTTGCCACAAACTACAACCCTTTTCAGATCTGAATAGCTTTTTACCTGTCCCCGATAACGACTCCGGCAATCTACACAATGCAGCTCAAATACATATTAGTCATTCTCAGCGTTTATACCTGTAACAAGAGCGCGCATTGGGCAATTCATATGCTAGCTGTATTGTACTGTTGGGATGATTAATTCCCATGAAGGAAGTAAAGAATCCTCTCGTTCAGAATATTGTGTTACTGCGTATCTAACTTACGTTACATCATTAGTTTATATGGCTGTTCTGCGGATCCAATACTTTAGCGCCATGTTTGGTATGGTATTATTAGGAAAATATTTCTATATTATCAAATAATCATTTTCAGGCATTTTTCATCGACCTTCATTTTCCTCTTTTTCGTGAAAGAAGTCAGTAAGCCGATTAAAATTTCATATTTCCTTATCTGCAAGCTTGACTGTTAGAGTGGCCACTGTTGGAACAGTAAGTAAGAACTGCACATGAGGCAATAAGTAAATGTGGGGTTGCTATACGTTATGTGCAGAATAGATACAGTGTACAAAGGCGAGTACTTTGACGTTAGAAAGTCAATAGCAATGTGTTTACATGTGTAATAAGCAGTTTGTTAGGTGTTAAATGTAACTGGTTAGAACGTACAGAATATAAGCTGTGTAAACTCTATATACTCTGATATACATCCTAATACAAATGTATATATACGAACGTTTGAATATAATTTTACAAAATTGTAATTCATGGTGATAATAAGGTTTATTTCCATCCATGTGCACACGCGAATACATTTAACACAATCAGCTCAGTGATTTAAACCCGCAGTGTTAAAGGATAAAAAGAAATAGGTAACTGAATGAGTGAAGAAATACAACACAAACATACGCATTAATGTCGGTGTCCCACCATATGCGGGAGCAGCATTAGCAACGTGATCGTGTACATACACCAGGAAACTCACGACTTTCCATGTCATTGATACAGGCAGAAACAGAACAGGTAAAACATCGACATCGAGCATTCATCTTTCGTTCGTTAACACCGTGTATTCTCGTGACACATCCTGTTAAATGTATTACCAGTCACAATGGCCAAAATCAACATACAAAAATATCATTATAACAAAATAGCACTAGGTAGTCGGAATGACATTCGTTGAAATGAGGTAACGGGCATTTGGTCTAAACATATTTATTCGTGAAATAAATGGATTGGCAAACAAGGTACAAGCTTATATTAATGCCGCTCCAATACAATTTACAAAGGTATATACGTCAACTAAATCAAAATAAACGGGCATTTGTGTACCATCATGACAAAAAGTTTGGTTTATTGTTTTTATTAAATTAAAGCTGATGTTTGAAACAATCTTGAACTTTGTTAGGTTATAATTGAACCAAGAGAAACGCATTGACCTTTCATTCAGTGATATTCAATAAGAGTGTTAATGTGCTGCGTATTCTGCAAAAGAAGTTGGGTCGGATTAAAGCATTAAAACATGATCATAGATATGTATGTCAATTGATAATGGCATGAAGACGTCAAATGTGCTCGGCATTATACTATCAACTATGATCAAATGAATTTGTCTTTATGTTCATTCTCTGAAAAAGTAGATTTAGACGGCGTCTTTTCATTTCATTTGTGTCTTGTGGTGGACAAGTCCATTAATGCACCCACCGATGACATGACGTAAATCCATGATAGCTTATTTTGGTGTAAGTTTCAGATTTGCGAACTCATCTTCTTACACTATCCACAATAAAATATCATACGCTTTATCATAGAGTCCATTTTCAACCATTCCCTCGCTAGTTTCCAGTCCTCCATCATACAAATCACCAACACAATTGTCGCTGCCAACGGGTTCATCAAGGAGGACCCCGTTCGTAGACATCGTTTTCTACCATATCACAATCCATTGTCAACCATTCCCACGTTTGTTTCCAGTCCTACACCATACAAATCACCAACAGGATTGTCGTTGTCAGCCATGCTGCCAAAGGGTTCATCAAGATGATGAGGCCCTCCGTCGTAGACGTCGTCTTCTATCATTTCATAACCATCTTTCCAAAACTGTTTACTGTTGTTAGGAGAAGTGTCGGATTCGACCTGCACAGTTTCTTTTTCTTTGTCAAAGTCGAATTTATCATAGAGTCCATTGTCAACCATTCCCCTCGCTAGTTTCCAGTCCTTCATCATACGAATCACCAACAGGATTGTCGTTGTCAGCCATGCTGCCAAAGGGTTGATCAAGATGAGGAGGCCCTCCGTCATAGACATCATTTTCTATCATTTCACGCTTATCTTCCAAAGACTGTTTACTGTTGTTAGCAGAAGCGTCGGATTCGACCTGCACAGATTCTTTCCCTCTGTCAAAGTCGAATTTATCATAGAGCCCATTGTCAACCATTCCCTCGCTAGTTTCCAGTCCATCACCAACATGATTGTCTTTGGCAGCACAAGGAGGCCCTCTGTCGTAGAGGTCGTTTTCTTTCATTTCACGATTATTTTTCCAAGCCTGTTCACTATTATTAGGAGAAGTGTCGGAATCGTCCTGAACAGATTCTTTCTCTCTTTCAAAGTCGAATTTATCATAGGCTACATTGTCAACCATTGCCTCTCGAAGATTATCAAAACCTCCGTCATATAAATCATTTTCAGTCATACCACATATTCCTTGATGACCGTTGTCAGGCCTGCTGCCATTAACCATAAATGTACTGTTGTCGTACATATCTACTGTAGAACCCAAAGGCAACGCCTTAGCGTACTGATCCTGCTCATATTTTCCAGAAGTCTCAGTTCGGTGTCCAAGTTCTGTATTTAAGGATTGTCCAACTCTTGCTCCAAATTCTGGATCGAGCACAAAAAACTGGTGAAAGGTTTCATTTTGTTCCAAGCCATTGTGATGCTTTTCCGTATTCATGGGACTGAGTTCTAAAGGCCTTTCAAAATTACCTTGACCGGGAGTTTCAAGAGGATGGCTCTTCTTCACATGTTTCCTTGAATAAAATAAAACAATTAACTGACATTAAATTGTGATACAGCCGACCCTTATTATCCGAATGCGGTCATCACTGTTGCATAGATATTTGGACCCGATCCTCTAGTCAAGACCAGCTCATCATATAAACACATTTTTTATTTCCTATGTTGCGATTAAATCGTGTTTGTTTATAATTATGAACAGATCCATAAGTATTCATTACACAGTTACATTATCTCACTTATTGTTCATGACGCGTTATCTCGAGTGTCCGGATACCTGAAATTCTAACATGATCCCGATTGGTCGAGATAACGGGATTCGACAGTATTAAAGTCTAAGATGACTATATTTTCAGAAAATTTAAAAAGTGTATAGTTGAAGATAGTTTATGCAATACGTTTGTCAATATTTATTGAAAACATAAATTCTAATAAACACTCATCATGTTACAAGATAAAAAAGAAAATCTGAATATTACCTGCAAAGGACAACTGAAATCACGACAATCAAGATTGTGACAACACAGCCTGAGACAGCAGAAGCAACCCATATTATCAGTCCTGTTAAAATAAGTTCATCACGATATATTGTCAGTGAGTTGAAGAGTAAGATTCGATGACTGGAAAGGTCTGAACAACTTGTATTTATTCATGAACAGTAATGACCTCTTACATTACTGATCATGACATGTTTGTTTTCTGTTAAATGAAGTTAAATTGGACACATGACATGTCGGTACAATGCTGAGGTACCTACCCAGTTTAGAACTGGACATGGTTGTGGAAGATGCTTCGCCAACCTTTGTAGTCATATTTGTAAAGATTACTGATGAGAAATAAAACTGACAATTAGATACATCGCACAATGTAATTTGGTTATAAAGTAGTAAATAAATAGATTTCGTGTGTTTATTTTCTCATTCATTTGGGACATTTAGGTGAACATATGTTTGCATGTGTTTCTGACGGGTGCCACCGGTGAGAGGGTGTACGTTCAGCTTCTTGTATCATACGTTTTAACTGTTTGATGGTGATTCTTAATCAGTCAATATCGACTCATACACGCGGTACTTACTAGATTTCTCTTTCATATTCGACAGCATGAATGACATAGATTAATCAAGGGTAGTGATATGTATATCTATATATATATGTGTATCCCTAATATCAATGATATGACTGTTTGTATCGGTTGTAAGTCCTATCGGTCTAAGTAATGCCTTACATCAAATGATGTGTCTTGGTTCCTCCTTTCGCAAAATAAATGGAAGTCTTAACGCTATTCTGTCTCTAACACATATCCCATCCCAACCCCTTCCAGAAGATCAATTGGTCTGTCCCTAAAATGTGGATTACATAAATGTGAAAGCACACCACTTGAGTGGTTAAGATTGTTCATTTTACAAGGAAATATTGCATGCACGGTCCATTGAATGTGATCTCTAAATGAATTGTTCGTGATCATTCCTCATGCGGTTTTATCTTATTGATATTTTGTGTATCTTTTCACCTGTAACTGACTTTGGAGTTGTCACTGCCGTGGTTGACTTTGGAGTAGTCAGCGCCGTGGTTGTGTTTGTTGTTGGATCACGTGTCACTGTTTCTGACATTGTTGATTGATCTGTTGGGAGAAAGCGGCTGCTGAGTTGTTTCTTGTCAGGATTTGAAGCATTACTTTTCCTTTGAGACGAAATGTACTGTTGAATGACAATTCCTTGGAATATGTTTCGGACAGGTTTACAATAAACATATAAAAAGATATATGTTGACATATACTGACAAGTTTTTAGACAGAAGACATAAACATGAACGCTTACTTTTATGAGATTTCATTTTTTCGAAACTTGCGTTTATATGCGATTTGGGAAAACAAAAATGACTTTACATTTCAGGTTTTAAATGCTCTTCTTCCTTGTATAATTCACCAGGATGCACATAATTATTAGAATTCGACCTTCACAACTGGTTAGTAAATCATTTTCATACCGTTGTATCATTGCTTGTTACAACAGTTCTGCAGTTCTGGTGGTATGTACTAAAGTATGTACTAAACATGTAGTTCTCAAGGAACGTAGACATTGTACATATCGACTTTAAATTACTGATATACCACATAGCGGTTGTGTATATTTACATGCGATAGAAGAATATAGTGTGCACACACCCTGAAGAAATGCGTGTCATTGCGTATGGTTACCTGTGTCTGTTGATACCGTCATCGTGAAATTGGACGGCCACTGTGTTGCTTTACTCCCTGTCGAGTTAGTAGTATGTCCATGCGTAGATGTAGCGGTCGTAAAAGACGCTGCAACTTGAGATTTTCTTATGTAGTTCCAAGGAAGATAGATATGTATTATTTATGTATATGCTAGCTTTGTTTGTTTTTATTTATGTATCATCTTTAATTTTCGCGGACATTTTTCAAATGTATTAAAGATATGGTATATCCGTGCAAGAAACGATGTAGACATATAAGTAAACCTAATTCAAAAGCATTAATATTGTTGTTGCTATGCAATGAAACATAGCGTTCGACCACAATCGTTTAAAGTATCGTGCACATCAATAATGTTCATACTCATACAAAAGAAACACACTACTAATCCAAGTATGGAGGTAAATATCCCATGTAAGCGGCTGAAAACGTCATACAACGTCAGTATACACTCACCAATAGCTGTAGAGTGTGTAATTGCCGCTGTTTCAGTTGTTGGTGTGTCCGAAGTACTTGGAATGGTTGTACTCTGTGACGGCTGCTGTGTTGACGTAGTCCTGGTTGATGTATTCAATGTTTCTCCGCTGATCTTTATGTTCATTTGACCTGAATCTATGAACAAGTTATTTCTGCAGCATTCTCTAGGTCGGAGTTATATGTTTATCTTTAAGACAATTCTAGCGTGATATAGGGCTATACGTCATGTCATTTACGTACTGAAGAATCGGTTACAATAACAATTACAGTGATTACAGTAAACTAGTTAGAAAGGCATCAGTTCGTATTTCTGGTTAATGTATTAGTTAGATAAACAGTTATCACAGTAATGACAGTTATCATATAAGATACTCCAAAAGATAGTTTGATTAATACACACCGGCAACGCGTATCCATAGATTTGATCCATTCTGACCATGGTTATCGTAGACTATAACTATTTCGGCAGCTGTTCCAGGTAAAACCCTGTTGTACTGGTCCGCGTTCACGTTTGTCAAGAGTTGTCTCCCGTCACCTGAGATGTCAAGCATCCCTGACTTAATATACTTTTCTGCCAATGTTACTTGTAAAGTCTGTCCTGTGATCCTAACAACACAGCTGCTGTTCACACCGACACTGTCAGGGAAGCCGGGAGAATGAAGGTACACCGACCCGTTTACTGTTGTTGTGACTGAACTACATATATTCATACTTCCTGAAATACAATGACATAGGACAAGTAAGATAAGGTTTATGTTGGGATTTGAGACATATGTCATGAGTCACATTGAGAGAATTGCTCACACACATGCTAGATTTTGCTTTGGCTTCATGTTGATCAAGGTTGATATGACTGACTGACTGACTGAGTTTGGTTTTAGCAATATTCCAGCTACATCACGGCGGGGGAACACCAGAAATGGGCTTCACACATTGTACCCATGTGGGGATTCGATCCCGGGTCTTCGGCGTGACGAGCCAACGCTTTAACCACTAGGCTACCCCACCGCCCCAGGTTGATATGAAGTTAACTAGCAGCTCCAAGAACCAACACTCATAAATTACTGTCAATGTTACTGATATGTATTGTTACCGGGATAAGGATGTTCTGTCCTACTGGCAACACTAAGGTAAAAATCTAGATTACTGTTGCCATGAAAATCAACGATAGTCGAAGTGAAAACTTTTTTTTTTAAATTAGCATACGAATTAGTAGTTGGCAGCATGCTGCGGTTGGTGTTTACTATATATATTGCTGATGTTTTGTCAAGTTTGTTGCACTCAGCAATACTCAATATTCCAGCTATATGGCGGTGGTCCGAAAATAATCTGAACCAGACAAGCCAGTGATAAACAGCATGAACAGCGATCTACGCAATTCGGATACGATGACATATGCCATTCAGATCAGCAAGCCTGACCACTCGATCCCATTAGTCGGTTCCTTCGACAACGTAACACGTGATATAATTGGGATTACACTTTCACAGTAAAGTACCGATTCTAGTACTTTTCGTATTCCAGATTCAAACCCACACTCTCAGAGTCAAGCACTTAATCGCCAGCACAAACTCAACCCAATCAGCTACCACTGTTTCCACAAAAATGGAAATCGGAAAACTTGTAGTATAGAGCACGGAATTTGTGTACCCCTCTGACAAGTGTAATTTGACACGGCTCCATCGACCGACAGCTGGGAATACACAATGCCATTTAGAAAGTGGTCAAATGGTACACATGAATCTATACTTTACTGACAAAGTGCAATCCCAATATAACATGTCTTACTTTTGATGACTTTGTAAATGGTATTGTGTATTCGTTAATACGACAAGCATGGGTTGCTTATAGAGCAGTGTTTTTCGGTGTTGAAACACGGAGGTATAGCTAGATGTATCTTTGGAAAGTTCAGGATCTCTTGTTGAAAGTTTCCGGCAACATGTCATTTTGGGTTGTTTCCATGGTAACCATACAATGTTAGAAAGACCGCTTCTGCTCTACATAAATGGCTAAGTCATCACAATTTACCTATATTTAGTCAATGCTCTGAATGTTTCTGATACAACAAGCATTGCGTCTCCAATACATGTAACACGTCAAGGGCACAGGTCAAGGTCAAAACAGTCGAATTGTAACTGTTCTTGCTCAACGTCAATATAATTGTAATCTTGCATTTTTCGCAACTGATGCGTGCATTATACGTGCAGGACCATGCATTTCGTATCGTATGAAACGATAGAATGAACTTTCTGAAAAATGTAAAATAATTATAGAAGGCATGGCCTGTAATGCGTCTCCATGGTTACTATAATTTATGTATTTTTTGTTGCATTTTCCTTCACCGAATCTCCATCCACAAGAAGTAGGAGGTGGAAAATCTAGTTGCCTAACACGGCTGTGACACCATACAAAAGTGGATATTCATAACAGGTCAATAATATTCAAGCCTGATAGCGTCCTGTAATTATCAGTATATTGTGAACTGAGCTTATAACACGGGTGCTGAGAATGAGGTTAGATGGCATGCACGTCGAGATCAAATGTGTGAGAATGACAAACACCTAACGTGACAATGAAAACCTTGATAGAAAACGCAGTGTACCATGGTCCGCAATATGGTAAAGAGCTAGTGATCATAAGTTACGGAAACAGTAACACAATGCATAAATGACTACTGTGTTTAAATATTGACTCATACATGTAGGTAAAATGAATCATAGACTAACATTATCCATATCATTCCTTGTTCATGTTGTCAGTTTGATATAGTACTACGTGTATGATATAACATGACCCGCGGGCATTATTGAAAAGTAAGGCCATTCCCCAAGGGAAGAGGGCTTACTTTTCAATAATGCCCACGGGTCATGTTATATCCAACTTATAAACCGACCGAAGATATACTTTAGATATAATTTCAATATTTGGTATTTACTAGTGAAATCAACTGGGATGAGACTGGCAGCCGACGCCTCGCAATGCACGTGCGCTGCCCGCACTACCCGTCTTGGGAGGAACACACGGCTCATACCGACAAACAATCTCATTCTTGACAGCGATCCTTCGTAGCCTTGTGGATAAAACCGCCAAGCTAGTAAGCGAAGGTTTACGTGTTCGAAACCGGGTGTCAGCACTACATGTTGGAAATTGTCAGTGACGCCATATTTAAAGATCGCATTCAGTGATGACAAGACAAAGCCGTATCAATCTTCAAAACAAGTAATAATTCAAAGTCAAGGGCTATTCCTCAGAAAATCACGGGGCAGAGGGACGTTATTAAGGTAATTCCCCGGGACAGAGGGACATTATTAAGATAATTGCCCGAAGAAGCGAGATTGTATCAGATTTGAGGGATATTACGAGAAAAAGTGTCCCCTAAGAACAATAGAGTGACGTCACTGTCGGTTTATAAGTATGGGTTAAATCACGATGACCTGGTGTCTAATCGCTGAAATGGTTAGCTCGACTTAGAGTCCGTCGGTCATGCGAGATCCACGTTATACATGTTCCTTGAGTCTTTCACACGAGCACCTTTTGCTTTGGCATCTCGACTTATGAAATGCATGTGCATATGTGCATATTCCAAGACAACGAAATAATCCACCTGAGACCAGCTCGAGCATATATATGCTTCACCGAGACAAGTACTAGCATCGCCTTCATCGACAGGGTTTGTTTCTATATTTTCGTGTCACACATGCGCATAATCCAGACAATAACATGACACGTACCAAATCAACCAAATATTTCACATTAAATATTAAATGGGGAAATTATTAGTAAATAAATATTTCTGGTTACTTTCATAAAGATTTGTTCATGTCGACGAAGATAACATTTGTAAGCCCACTAGCGACACACGTTTTTCGCTAAAAGATTGCACTTGATGGGGGGAAGAAATCCCGTCATTCTTCAGTTGTGTATTACTAACAGTCAACGACCAAATTTGCCTTTGATACAGAAGTTCTTTACTTCAGCACTGAGCAGCATCGGTAATACTGCAGTTGCTATCCGACTGTGCATCCAGCGTCTACAAATTCGTTTATGACGTTCATGGTAAATATTTACTATAATATGTCTATAATGGACTCAGTGGCTGATATTAAAGAAATCAGTGTTTATACGTAGATCTACTACAGGTGTCTCCAATGATCACCTTTGATACAGGTATACCATATTGAAATCTCACCTTCGATACAGTTGTACTCTACTTCAGCAGCAGCATTAGTAATATTACAGTTGTTGATGGTCTGTACCTGCATGGCTTCACGACATGACTGTTTCCCATTACAGTTGACAACCAGGCCATACTGGCTGCTGTCGAGTTTCTTACTACACGACTGAGCAGATTTCAGACGACATGTCGCTGCGTCTCCATTCCCATACACCTTGTGCACGACATGTATCCTTTCACCGGCAGGACACTGAAGCTGTACTGTAAAGACTTTCGTCAAATCCTCTATACATCTGTTTCCAGTTCTGACACCTTTGAATATATTGAAACTCGTTCAGTCAAACATACTTGACAAAATATACTTGAATATATTGTTCCAATTGACGGTAAAACCCTATTTGGTTTGAAATAAACGAGAAGTTTCGAAGCAAAGATGTAGCGTCATCTTTAAAACATGAAATTCTGTGTGACTCAAATAAGACATTATATGTAACATTATAATGTTTTAATATAATGTATGAAACGGTGCATGTACAGTATCCTTCAATTCACAAAACTAGTGCGTATATATGCTGGTAGGTAAACCTGCTTAAACGCTGCAGAAATGTGTAACGTTGTCTTAAATGTGATCAACTATCAGTGTGTATTTGTACACAATCTGAGTCTAAGACTGATTTGGACTTTGTTGTAAGAGGTGTCTCAAAGGTATGTATCATACCACAGTTAATGTTTAAAATGGCTTGTGAGCTTTAAAATCCAGTGGCATGAAAGGCTTTTGACATTTGCGCGTCAGTCACAACAAATCACACGTACATAATGCGATATAAAATCATACGGCAACCGGAATTATGATGAAATAATCACATTACACATACTGAAATACAGAATACAAAGACACGTTTGTCTGTACCATTACTCACCATATACAGCCAAGAAGAAATGTAGACAGATCACAAACACCCTTTCAACATGCATGGCTGTTAGATCTCAGTCATCAGAAGTTCAATGCGTGCTTTCTGTACGTCCATGGATACAGAACATGTCGTCTCTGTTCAGGCATGCCGTTAAACTGTTGGATTCCTATTCAATATGTAGCAAGTTGCCTCGTTGAAATTCACGCACATCCGCCATCGAAAGCACAGGAAATGTAAACAACATTCGTCAATTCATGACTACACTGCTTGTATATAATCACGCTGTCTGGTCGTCTTCGTTTATGTTCGTACCTGTGAATCCATTAGGTACTCCAAAACATAAACCTACAGTCGTATCTACATCACACAGGCAAACAGTAGACTCTATATAAGTGAATGTGTTAAATAGTCTGAACAAACCCAAGAAGTTACTGTTATAACCAGCACGATGAAATGACGAACCCACTAACGTCAACAGGTCGCTAGGTGTTACTGAAAGTTAAATGCACGAGTAAACGTCCCTCGAGGACGACCAGGTCTCAGGTATGAACAGGGAAGTAAAATGAGTGTGTTGTGACTATACATGTAGAGCATGCTGTGAGGTGTGCGGGTCTATCTTGCCCCAACACACAACGTCACAATCGATTATGTTTGTTTGCTTCGTGATTCAACTAGTTTTTCGTTTGGATTTGGACAGTAGTGGGGTGGGTGGTGGTGATGGGGCGTGATCTGCTTACGACAGTGAAGTGGGTTTTCCCTAATCATAAGTGTATTTCTGTATTTCAAGTGATGCAGACAATCTTCCAACTGCAATTGAAGCTTTGTTAAAAGAGAGAGTTATCTTCCTTCAAGTGTATCATAAATACCACTCGATCATATGTATACACAATGCAATTGAATTATGCGGACATTGGCCAAAGGGGAAAGCTGGCAGTCTATTTAAGAAGGGGCTATAGAGAAACAATAGTAGTGTTGCATCAAACACCCGTGACTTTGTTAGCTTATGAAATAAAAATAGTAAGAAACAAAAGAAGTAAGGTTTCTAAGATAAAATGCCATGGTTAGATTGAGAGATATGGTTTCGAGAACAGACAAGCGGTGTGTCTACTTCTACTGTAGTGTTCAGAAATTGCAGATTTGCCGTTGTCAGTCTATATTAAAGACTCAGCCACTTGTTTTGTGTTATTTTATTTTGTCTGTACCGATCACACGCATCAAGAGCTGTATTTACACTGTTTTATCATCCGGTTTACGCCTGAAATGAAGACATCATATTATATTTGGATAATTTTATTTTTTTTGTAATAAAGGCAGTAATGCATGAGTTGCATGTCAGTAAAGTAATCGATTAGGTTTCTCTTCGCACTTGGACCATATATAAATATAGACATGAGCTATACAGAACATCAACGTTTTCAGGTGAAATATGCTCGATCGAAGACGTTTACACTTGAAATATAACCGCTTCCGTGGTGTAGTGGTTAGAGCGTCCGCCCGGAGAGCGGAAGGTCGCGGGTTCGATCCCCGACCGCGTCATACCAAAAGACGTTAAAATATGGTACTTGTTGGTCCCTGCCTGGCGCTCGGCATTAATGGGTACAACAAGGACTGGTCGGCTCGGAGTCAGTATAATGTGTCTGAGTGGGGTATTCATGCTTCACTGCGGCATGGTATCTCAGTGGGCTAGCACTATAAAACCAGCTTAAGTCTGGGCTAGTACAAGCAGCCGCACATACACATACACACGCATGCACGTCGTCATATGAGCGAAATATTCTCAAGCACGACGTACAACCCAGTTTCACCTCACCTCACCTTGAAATACTGTTTAGGATTATAATTCTTAGAGCTTAGAAAGGCATCTTCACTAACAGATCTTCCACTTTCAATGCAATATTTGCACAGTCGTTCAGTGTATGGGATCGTCGGCATTTAGGGAGTTTCGCAGTCGTAAAATGTGAATTTGAACGTACTGGCCACTGCATGCTTACCACTGCCAGCACTGTAAACAGTATGTACAGTAGATACTACGCGCATTGCTGACGCCACATTACCAGTTCATACATAAATGGAAAGTTAACTATGAATGAAAGTAAGAACATCACAAATGTGTGATAAGCAGAATCAATAAGCCTGTCAATTGAATATCCTTTGAGGTAAATCGACCTTCCTTGAATATCTGAAAGTCAGGATTGACACCCTACACATGTGTGTTGCGCTACCTGACACATGTATAAACCATAAGATGTGTTTTGGTGTTATGTTTTAAAACCAAAAAACGATCTTGCATGAGATGACTTTCGTCAACACTTATCTCAGTTCTAATACTTGGTATTTACATTAAGAGTTTACGACCACACTCATTTCACACATACATACTGATATGTTCTCTCAACCTAGGATTGATTCTCCTTACCTAGAAATGTATCAGCTCCTTGTCACCAAGCCCAAACCTCATTGAATATAATGCATGGCGGCTCGTTCATTTTCTTACAAACATGATGGCATCGTACTTTTAAAGTATCTCCTTCACATCCTCGGAACACCAGAATCTAATATGCCTTTAGGAAGCATTTGTTAGGAACATTGAAACGGCTCTGTTGAGTTTAAGTAAGTTTAATTGAATTTAAATATTTTGATGAAGCAGCAAGAGGTTGCCTTGAAATAGCAATCAAAGTGAGCGAGTTTAATTTTGAGTTTTCGAAAAAAAAAATCAGTTTTTCATCCATGGCCTATATTCATGACAACTGCATGTTTAATTTGTTTAAATCCCTTGTCAGAAAGTGGCCACAGTGTGGAGAGTTTCTGGCCTTTTGTGAGTCCGGAATTAAATTGTGACGTGTTGCATTAATTTCATGATGGCATCGTATTGCTACTTCTAAATACTTACCAAAGACTTGCCTAACATGATATCTTTCAATAACTACTGCCATTGTGTATAGGTGGCGCCTCGTGATATAAATTTGAACGGTCTTTTTAGATATTAAATAACTAAAATGAACGGCATACTTTTCTTCTCATTTCATCCTTATATCTATCCTTAAAAGACATTTAACATCATCATGTATTTATACAAAAGGAATATAGCAACTATCAACTTCAATATATTATAGATCTTCAGGCAAAACAGTGGGCAGGCATGACCCAGTCGTCTGTCCGGTCTGCGTCCCCTGAGCGCATGACCCAGTCGTCTGTCCAGAAACCAAGGATCATTGATTGAATTCCGGTTTGTCACGATTAAGTTGGTTCAAAAACCGCCCAAATGGTAAACACCTTAGACCTGCTTCACTTCAAAGGGGCGTTAAACCAGACCAACCGTCTCTGTTACCTCTGTCACAAGTAAATAATTAATGAATCTGCGGTAATATCAACTCGTTACATTTGATACATATTATATCTGATATGGGTTGATCAAGGAAAGCGGAAATCGAAATCATTATTAATATATATGATTCGATGACGTTCAGTTACAGTTTACGGGATAGTTAGACTGTGGTTATGCGAGATAATGCTTCACTATTTGAGCGAAGAAAGACATGCCAGTGTAAATATGAGCAGTGGTTAGTTCTCCACGTTCCTGCAAGAAATGGGTACTTACAGTTTTACATTTTGGACTTGTGTGCTGTTTTACATGCGATGTTTACACATTTCCTCAGGTAAGCCGATCTATATTGCTCTAAGTATCCCCCCAACAATGACGGCTTTCGAATCTGTTATATAATATTTAATTCACATTCTTTTAATCAAACGCTGAACGTGTAAAAAAATCTAGAACAAGAGCCAGGGGAGACCAAACTGTTTGTCTCGTAACTATATTCCAGTGTTCCTGTTACGCTTTCTTCGGTATTTGTTACATATGTTATATTTGGAGTTACACTTTCTTACTAAAGTACAAATTCGAGTACTTTTTTGGGTTGAGTCCCATCCGGGATTCGAACCCACATCCTCAGAGTCAGGCACCTTATCGCCAGCACACAAAGTCAGCCGCTTAACCCGCTCAGCTCAGTGTAAATCTAACATGTTACATTTAACCACTTTCTAAATGGCATTGTGTACATGTAACCATAGCTTTCGGTCGTGGGAGCCGTGCCAATTTACACTTATCAGAGGGGTACACATGGTCCGCAGTCTAGACTACCAGTTGTCAGACATCCATTTTTGGGGAGGTCGCGTTAGCTGAGCGGGTTTGGCGTCTGACTTTGTGTGCTGACGATTTGGTGCCTGACTCTGAGGGTGTGGGTTCGAATCCCGGATGTCACTTCACGCACGCCAACTTAGTGACTGATATTATGAAAACAGCATGAGCATCGATCTACGCAACTGGGATTCGATGACGTGTGTCAACCAAGACACGCAATCAACTTAGTTTCACCAAGCCTGCCCGATTCATATTTTGCCGCTTAAGAGGCACAGGTTGCTAAAAACATGTTATAATGATCCCCTAAGGACCCATTTACACGTAGATATCAACGTGGTACGATCTAAGTACACTGTGCGGTATTTATGTTTTGGTGACAAACAGTTTAAATCCATTGATGTATTTAGGGAACATGATATTACAGCCGGCGTATATTTACAAACAGCCTTTTTAACCATTCTCTGATCATCAGCATCAATGGTCCAGCTAATGTTGTTGACTCATTGATTGAATGGAGTACATAAAAAATATACTTACAGTTTTTACTTCAGCCAACATCACATCAACAACGCCCACATTAACGCGCTCATTGAATCCAGAATCGACCATGATGGATCAAACAGACACGACCTACAATAATCCTATCACTTCAGGCAGCCTCTCGTCAACAGGTAAACTTTACACAGTTGTAATTACTCTTTTGCAGATTATCAGTGCGCACAGCATTATATGTAGCACGTATGATATTTTCCAATCGACCGATTTCATGCCCATATCGCAATTTTAGGGGGGAAACTGGATTGTATCTTTAGCTTAGAATATGAGATTCTTAAAATGTATCATGAATGCATCACTGATTAAGTGCCATTTAGTCACAGTTAGCAACCAACATTGGTGGTATATGAAGCAAGACGGTATCGTACATACATGGATGTACTAATGATGATTGATTGATGTTGAAGAACGCTGAGGATTTCAACTATCAATTTGTCCCAGAATATGTCTAACATTAAAGCAGCTAGTCAATTAAATGGTTCAAATGTAGAATTTTCAAAAGCCGAAAACATCTAAGGTGGAAACATCAGATCGATTGTGTCATGATAGCTCATAAAGTATATGTGTCTTTCTAAACTTCTCGTCTAAAGGGACGATACCGTCAACTCAGCAAAGGACCATGACAACAACTGCCACTGAAGGTAACTATCCATTCATTCAACGAGCGTGTGTTGAAATGTCTTGTACGTCTAGGGATACCTTCTAAAGCTTTCTCAGTTCTTCGTTCTGGGGAATTACACGGCAACAGATGTACTTCTCCCCCCCTACTTTTATAAATAATCAAAACGCATGTATTTAATGAAACATAAACAAATTTGGGAAATATATTTAAATTTATTTTATATGCATGTATATGCCACTGTATGACTATATGACTTGGCTGTACATCCGGTAGAATGTTACGGTATGTTTTGGGGTAATTTTGTCACCACGACGTTACCAGGCGATCAGACAACAACTGCCGCACAGATTACGGGTAAATGATTTCCAGCCCTTATAAACAATCACAATGGCTGCTCGTGCGGAGGAATTGCACGTCTACAGATGCACTTCTTGTACCTCCATTTTTGTCAATATATATGTTTCATCAAATGTATATGCATGTATAGTCCACCGTATTGCAACAACTACTCAAGGCTGTGAATCCAGTAGAACGTTACGGAACGTTTTTGTTTAATTTCATTTTTTGTTACAACCAGTCACCGCAACGTTACCAGGCGATCAGACGACAACTGCCTCACTGACTACGGGTAAACGATTTCCAGCCCTTATAAACAATCACAATGGCTGCTAATAATTCCCCGTTCGTAGGAATAGCACGTCTATAGATGCACTTCCTCTACCTGCATATTTGTCAATGCATGTTTCATCAAAATGCATGAATTCAAACAAATATATGAACAAATTTATTAAATACGCATTTGTATGTTTATATATGTATATCCCACAACTTTATAACATGGCCGTAAATCTGGTGGGATATTACGGTACTGTTTTTATCAGTTTCGGTACTTTTTTGTTAGAACCAGTCACCTCAACGTTCTCAGGCGATCAGACGACAACTGCCGCACAGAATGCGGGTAAACGATTTGTAATCCATATAAGTTTTCACAATTGCTGCTGTAGAGGGCATTAATTTCATACATGCATACTGTATGAGTGCGTGCGTGCGTGCGTGTATGCATGTGTGTAAAGTAAGGATGTAATGGGTGGATGGATGCATAATTTAAGACAAAATGCATGAAATATCATATACGGCAGTGTGTTTCCCCTCTTCCATCAGCATCAAACGTTATGAATATTTGTTTCTCATCACACAAACACACCGATGAATATAACGTAATACCATTGTGTGTGTACTGACTTTTCAACATTATAACAAATAAATGTCATATGTTTCAGATTTCCCACGGTTGGTATTGATTGTAGCAGCTGCTTCAGCCAGTGCAGCGGTAGCCATCATAAGCCTTGTTCTCGTGATTGTATGTTGGTGAGTGTGTTTGTAGTCACTTATAGGAGATTCAGTTAGTGTCATAAACCACACTCAGAAATGTGACGACTACGTCAAGGCGACCGATAAATGGTCACATCTTTGCCAGACAGATCAGTGACTGACAGCATGAGTACGCTGAAACGTTATGATACATAATCGGCAAGGTCAAAAAGATGTCCACCCGATCCCCTTTAGTCGCCTCTTACACGCTTGAACATATCCTACCCAGAAATTCCAATTTATGGTTTCAGTAATGACACACTCTTGCGTCAAAAACATTTGACTGACTGACTGACTGAGTTTGGTTTTACGCCGCTTTTAGCAATATTCCAGCAACATCACGGCGGGGGACACCAGAAATGGGCTTCACACATTGTGCCCATGTGGGGATTCGAACCCGGGTCTTCGGCGTAACGAGCCAACGCTTTAACCATTAGGCTACCCCACCGCCCCCAAAAACCTTTGAGATCATAAGACCATGGTGACGTATATGATCTTATATCGTTCAATAATAATCGAGTTCCTTAAAATGATTTATCTGTCTGAACAAAAAGTAAATTAAATCGGTGAAACTGACTCATTTCATTTATATTCAGATATAGACACATAAAGATTCTTGTGACAGATACGTTGAGGACGTTTCCAAATTGCATGCATCAGTGATAAAACATGTGTCTATTACAACTCCCTATTTTGACTTTGATCACTTTTACGCGAACAGCAGGTGAAAGCCACATTCGGACTTGTTTTCAATTTCAGTACAATCACGAAACCGAACATTTCCCCAAACTACGAGCATGCGGATGTAATACGTAAAAAGGCCAGTAGATCGAACTGTGACGATTCTACGAACTATGAAGAGTCAGACGTCGCCCGTGCACACCGCAGCACAGACAGAAACGTGGCGCACGGTGACACCAACCCTGCCAAAAGCTACCACAAAATCTCCGCCAGTTGCTGAAAAGGAAAGAAGTGAGTTCAAGAATATATGAAGAGTTGGATGGACATCTCGGAATTGAAATGCGAGAACCAACTCCGTGTAAAACCGATGTCCTCAGCTCACACTCAGATCCCCCAAACAGGACAGCTGTCACTTCCACAATTTATGAAGCGTCCGATGTAGTCCTTGGAGTGGAAACATCAGAACTGCCTCAGGATAAACCAGATTCTACCAGCAACTCAATATTTTACATCTATCAGTCTGGGAAAAGAAATGACATCGCCTCTGTAATGTATGAAGCGCCAGATTCCAGGGTATCTGGACATGCTGGACTGGCCGATGCTGCTTCAAGCTCCTATTCTGCCCTGTGTGGGCTGGGAAGCAAGGAGGTCGAGCACGACTACTCGAAGCTGCATCAGTACGATTCCGTGACAAATGAGGAACGTCTTCGAGAATCAATGCAGCTTGGTATGTACAGTGATCCCAGGAACCTTGACATTTGAAAGGTCGATGATGCAGCAAGTTCCAAACAACCATATTAATTAAAGTAATTCAGCTTAGTTGACCAGAAAGTGTTGTCATCAAAACTGGTTTTGCCAAACGTGACACTCACCAAAGAAACATTAGCCATATGTAAATATATTGTTACGCCACTATTTTTAATCCCGCATTTTTATTTAATTCTCTTTAGCACAAGAACCATTTTACCAATATGTATTTTATATTTATGTTATTATGTATGTATTTTTGTCCACACAAAATAGAAATAAAACAGAATTTTATTATTATTTATTACGTTCTTACATGGGTATATATAGCACTACCATTGGAGTCAATAATAGCACATTCAGCATCTACAAGTGTAGAGTTATTCAATTAGATCATTTTAAAAACTATCATTCATATATATATATATACTTAAACCTTTCATGGATGCAATTTAGGTGTAAAATATGCAGTTTCGAAGGTTTACAAGTCTCACATCGATGTTACTATCACAATATTAATGCTACATGTGTTGTGTTCAGTGTCCCGTGTTACAGTTATAGTAATGGTGGACAAGGAACACTGGATCAATCACGCATTGTGTGTTCTGATAACCACCACTAATGTGGGGGTCGTCAAGTGTAAATCCTTTCAAATGTAGTCATATTAGGTGTTCATTGTTAAGCTCTAAATATAGATGTTTGAAACTGCATTTCATTATGACGTAAAATCTGACAACAATGATTTACACTTCCTTGTCAACTGCACACCTTTCACGGTGGTAAATCAACAATGGTACACAGCTAATTATCTGGGAAACCTTTATCACAAAAATGCGAAACTGTTTTCCTCCTGACAAGTTTACTTGTGCATGTTAAAATGTTGCCTTGATTAGAAACTTCAATTATACCACGATGTATTTTATAAGACAAATCTTATGGATAACAACTTCTTGATTTATTTTACACAATGTTTCTGGGCTAGTTCTTGTCCCTTCGTCAGGTACAATGATAGGGTATGTTTTACAATAAGAACAAGAGTATGTTTACACAGCAGAGTGGATTGAGAGTCTATGATTTCTTGGTGATGCACCAGGCGCTAGGGGTTAAACCCCTTGATCCCTGTTGATCTCGGGTGCTAATCTTCTTATGTTGATTGGTTCAAGAAGTTTTCTTTTGCGCCAATTACTGATGTTGGAAGCCAGGATTTCAGTGTGTTGCCAGTTGATAGAGTGATTTGGATTTTTGACGATGTGTTCTGAGAGGGCAGATTTGAGATCAGATTTTTCAACTGAAGTTTTATGTTCTTTTAGCCTTATGATGAACGGCCGGCATGTTTCTCCAATATAACTGCTTCCACAATCACAACAAATTTTGTAGATGCATCCTCTGGGATTGGGTTCGGTCTGGCTGCTGCCACCTCTTCCATTCGCTTTCAGGATCGATTTCAAAGTTTTATCAGAATAAAATATCACATCAACACTGGCAGTTTTTCTAAGAAGTCGGCTGATGTGATGACTAATCTGGCCTTGGTAAGGAATGTTGATCCGGATGGGAGCTGGTTCGGGTTTGGGTGGACGGTCATTTTGTTGATGGAGGATTGTGGCTACGGTCTGCTCTACAAGTTATGTGGGATATCCGTTGAGGGTGATGAAGGTTGTTTTGAGGTGGTCGATCTCATCTTGGAGTTGGGCTAGGTCGCAGATAGCCTTGGCGCGTCTGGTTAGGGTTGAAACTATGGCTGTTGTATTTGTGGATGGTGGTTGGATAGATAATGAATATGCTGGTCAGTGTGTGTTGGTTTTCTGTAGACAGAGGGAGTGATCTTGTTGGATGAATTGTCGAGGGATACATCAAGGAAGGGCAGCTTGTGTTGTGTTGTGTTGATCACTCCCTCTGTCTACAGAAAACCAACCAATGTGATAAGAATTCATTTATAATTATCACTAGACAACTACTAGAAACTAATGTATCTTACAAATTTGGAAATTGTAAGTTGGTTCCGATTCTTATATGCATGTGGGCGAGAACCCCATGCGAAAAATTTGGCATCAAACATATCTATGACATGGATTCCAGATCCGTGATGGGCTACTCCATAACGATGGCTTAATATCATATTATAACTGACAACATTCCTGATTTCTATATAATTGAAACTTTCGCGGTGCCGCGGGCAAAAATGTATGGTTTTAGAGTATTCTTAAATGTTCTTAATCACATCGAGTTTTTATATCATCATCCTCGTCTTCCTAATTCACAGGTACTACTGTGTGTTTGGAGGGTCACACTCGATATGGGAATAAAGCAGTATGACGTTGTCACAAATAACCATTGTGTTATGTACTGATCGTGAAAGAAACAAAATATGTATTGAGTCGATGCTAAAGAGGTTTTAAAGGATTTTAGGGTGTGTAAGAAAATCTGGAAGACATTCGTGTAGTAATATCTGTGTAACCCCTACAGTTTTAGGAGTATATTAGCACTAAATGTAATATCGTTTTAAGTGACGTACAGTTGTGCCGAAGTTGATGTGACCTCGGAAAATATTTCGAGTTATCCGAGTTTGGACACAACCGCAAGATGATGACAGAATCCGCAGTGACGAATTATTTACTTCAAGACAGCCGTAATATCGACATAACGGTGTTTGACCGAACTGTTTGCCAAAATACGGATTTGTATATGGACAATGAACAGCTTAAAACAGTTTTATCGTAACACGAGCATTTACCCCGCGTGTCATCCTGCAACTCAACACAGCAAACACTGATCAACACACATTCATCCGGTATTCCTTTGTGACCTGGGTTTTCAAGTCCAACATTACCACAGTCATTGTTGAAGAGTAATATGAAACGCAGTCGAGTTGAGGCCCCAACTATAAACCTGGCCCAAACTATCAAATACAGGTTGTGTCACCCAGCCGTGAGTAATGGCGTTCTCTCAAAGAAACTAAAATAGACCCACCCGTCTAACAACCAACAAGTGTCGCGCACAGGTCGTGAGAATGAGGAAGTTGTTTGTGTTGTTTGTGACGGGGGCCGCTGGTGGAGTGTGACACGCTCACCTTTTGGCGAACACATCGTATTATGTTCTATTTGATAGTGATTCATAAATGCAGTCATGCTTTTCACACAGTCCGAATTGTAAAATGCACCTGCTTTTCTCAAATATGTCCTTAACTGGTACTCTTGTTCAAATGACAATTCTTTCAAGATAGCACAGAAAGCGTTATGCCGTAGAGTGACTGATTGAAAGTTGATACAAAGCTATTCAAATATAGGTTCAACTCGTGCTAGGATCCGCTGATCGTGGTTTTGAACTTGATGAATCATGACTCTGGGTTTATATTTGTTTGTTATTATTTTATTGGTATATTATGTATTTGTGTTTTACGTTTAAACAAAGTTGTAAACGTCTATCGCCTGAGTCACATCACGCTATTCTCCTACCTTAGGTTGAATAACCGTGATGTCCCTACATTAGGTTGAATAACCGTGATGTCCCTACATTAGGTTGAATAACTGTGATGTCCCTACATTGGGTTGAATAACTGATGTCCCTACTTTGGGTTGTGTCCATTGGGTTGAATAACTGTGATGAATAACTGTGATGTCCCTACATTAGGTTGAATAACTGTGATGTCCCTACATTAGGTTGAATAACTGTGATGTCCCTACATTAGGTTGAATAACTGTGATGTCCCTACATTAGGTTGAATAACTGTGATGTCCCTACATTGGGTTGAATAACTGTGATGTCCCTACATTGGGTTGAATAACTGTGATGTCCCTACATTAGGTTGAATAACTGTGATGTCCCTACATTAGGTTGAATAACTGTGATGTCCCTACATTGGGTTGAATAACTGTGATGTCCCTACATTGGGTTGAATAACTGTGATGTCCCTACATTGGGTTGAATAACTGTGATGTCCCTACATTGGGTTGAATAACTGTGATGTCCCTACATTAGGTTGAATAACTGTGATGTCCCTACATTAGGTTGAATAACTGTGATGTCCCTACATTAGGTTGAATAACCGTGATGTCCCTACATTAGGTTGAATAACTGTGATGTCCCTACATTAGGTTGAATAACTGTGATGTCCCTACATTAGGTTGAATAACTGTGATGTCCCTACATTAGGCTGAATAACCGTGATGTCCCTACATTAGGAATAACTGTGATGTCCCTACATTAACTGTGGTCCCTACTGAATAATCATGATATCCCTACATTAGGCTGAATGACCCTGATATTCCTACATTAGGTTGAATAACTGTGATGTCCCTACATTAGGCTGAATAACCGTGATGTCCCTACATTAAGCTGAATAACCGTGATGTCCCTACATTGGGCTGAATGACCTTGATGTCGCTACATTAGGTTGAATAACCGTGATATCCCTATGGTAGGTTGAATCACTGTGATGTCCCTGCATTAGGCTGAATGACTGTGATGTCCCTACATTAAGCTGCATGACCTTGATGCCTTTACATTAGGCTGAATGACCCTGATATCCCTACATTAGGCTGAATAACTGTGATATTGCTACATTAGATTGAATAATGTAGATGTACCTACATTAGGCTGAAAGACCCTGATATTCCTACATTAGGTTGAATAACTGTGATGTCCCTACATTAGGCTGAATAACCGTGATGTCCCTACATTAGGCTGAATGACTGTGATGTCCCTACATTAGGCTGAATGGCCTTGATGTCGCTACAATAGGTTGAATAACCGTGATGATCCTACATTAGGCTGAATAACCGTATATCCCTATGGTAGGCTGAATGACTGTGATGTCCCTGCATTAGGCTGAATGACTGTGATGTCCCTGCATTAGGCTGAATGACTGTGATGTCCCTGCATTAGGCTGAATGACTGTGATGTCCCTACATTAAGCTGCATGACCTTGATGCCTTTACATTAGGCTAAATGACTCTGATGTCCCTACATTAAGCGGAATAACTGTGATATCATTTTCATCGGGTTGAATAACCGTGATATCCCTACATTTGACTGAATAACCATGAAAACCTACATTGGGCTGAATAACCATGATGGCTGAATACTAGATGTTCAAAGCGGTGTTAAATCATCATGAAAATCCATTCAGCTTAGGGATATGTTTCAACATCGTCACATGTATGTATGTATGTATAACTGAAACAAACTAGAAATGTTTTTTATACGGTGTAGTTGTGTTTGGGACATCAAAATTGCAGTGTTTTGGCGACAGGTTTCAGTCAAGTAACGTTTTGATAATGAATTCGATATATTGATCAAATACAATTGTAAAGTGTATACTTTCTTGCCCGGCAGTTTACTAAATTGCGAGAGTGAAACATATTATCAATTGCCGTCCACGTCACGGTGTTTGGATGTAATAGAAATGAACCAAGCAAACTACTGTTTGTATACCTGCCTACAAAGAAAATAGTTTGATGGTTCACAAGTAAATCATATCTGGATTGCGGCTGATTAATAACCTGTGCTCTCTGCTCAAGTTACCTCGTTATTACGTTAAATGATGGATGATTTGCATGTTTAGTTGGTTGGTTTGATGTTCAACACCGCACTCAGCAGTATTCCAGCTATATGGCGGTGGTCTGTAAATAATCGAGCCTCGACCAGACAATCCAGTGATCAACAGCATGAGCATCGATCTACACGATTGGGATACGGTGACGTATCAACTGTGTCAGCGAGCCTGACCACGCTATCCCGTCAGTCGCCACAAGCATGGTTTACTGAAGATCAATTCTAACCAGGATCTTCACGAGTACTTGGATGTTTAGAGGAGCACATGTACGACAAATGAGAGCAATTGTGTCCCCCACGCCTGTGTCACTTTTAAACATTAAACCTTTTAACGTCCGGGTGTGCATAACACGATATGTCGAGGAAACCAACACCGAACAGGTTTCACGTCAAAGTCAATGCATGATACCGTCACAGATAAGGTCCAACAGGGATGTGTAATGGTTTTCAATCTCAATCAATTATGTCAGGTACATTACACAAAATGAATATCTCCATTATTATTATATTACTTCATTATTATAATGGCGGAAGAAGGAAAATAACTTGCAATTGCGACTGATATCGATGACGGTTGTTTTCCACTGTAATATTTACTGAAGGGATCCAGCCCATACTCCGATTAAAGGCAGCCATCAAGCGTCAAATGGACAAACGGCTTGCATGTTGGCTTATCACACAAGTCGTTACACATTGTCTATACATACCGATTTTAAAAGTTTTTGTTTCGCGAGATACTTCTATCGATACGTTTTGCTACTGGCAGCGTGTAGAATGAGAACTCCACTGTAACCACGATTGCAGTAGACCTTCAGGCCTTCTTGTGTGACTGTATCTTCAATATGTTTCTATAAGAGACGATCCATTCACCTTTACTGAGTGCGAGTCAACTTAACGTGTGTAAGCAACGGGTGTAGACAACACGGAACATCCATTACGCTAACGCATCTATATATAAGCTGCAACATTTCGTCCTCCCTCGGGTACATACATCAAGCAGTCAGTATTTACTCATCAGATATGTATGTGCATGTACCCTTACTTGCATTTACTTTTACTAATGTGAATTTACGTAACTTTATTACCTACGAGGGCGAACATATCGGGGTTCATATTTTTCATACGATGCCCTAGGGCAAAATATCACTTTGTCATGGTGACGTGACGTCATGAACAAGGCTATGACGTCACGTTTCTTCTGTGACGTTGCGTTCTACATGCGGCGACGGCGGGTAGCCAGCCTGTGTTTGAAAGTAGATTTGGGTTTATTTTCCTCAATTTGACGACTTCGGTAATAAACAGAATATTATATTCGTGCCCATATCATACTATGTTTACGACACTCGTGCCTAAATATCGGTATATCCCTCGCTCTCGCTCGGGAAATACCAACATTTAGGCACTCGTGTCGTAAACATAGTATGACATGGGCACTCATATAATATCCTCTTGGGTGCTTGTAGCTCCGCTCAGTGCTTGTAGAATTGCTATGAGTTCTGCTGCAAAAACTGATATGTAATCATGAAGCCTGAACACATCAGAGATAATGTAATCAGGGATTCAGAAAGCTCCAGCAGTACGGATCATGGCCGAATCCTTGGAGGCATCAGTATAAATGTGAGTAAAATCTGCATATCGTTCCCAAATAAAACGTTATTGACAGAGTAGCTGCGGGGAGTTGTCGTCCCTGGTTGAGAAGATCAGTTATTGTGCTTTTCAATGCATGGTATTTGTGAAGATTTTACCGCAGCCTCGTCTCATTTTACCGAGATAATATTTTACGAAAGGTGTTTGAACAAACTGAAAGACGGATTCCCTTCAATTATATAATGTCCATTTCCAGGATACTGCTGTAAAGTATATTCAGTGGCTGCCTGAAGGTAACAATTGGTCTGTGTTTGATATAGATGATTTCCTGTAAGACTCGTCCATCATAAACTGCAGAAGTAGGAAATCAGTGTTGTGTTTTTTAACAATTTGAAACTAAATTGAACGTCCAGTTTGTCCGAGCCTTGTCCCTCTTCACGATTCAGACAATATTGTGACATGTCACGTCATCTTTTACCTTCATTTGTATGGCTACAAACTTAATCACATCCGACATCAAGAGCTGTGGCAGTTTATAAAGGTGATTCACTCTTGTCCTCTTTTATGGCGTTTCAGGGTTTCCACGAACTCGAAAACATGCAACACTGAAATGTTCAAGATTTTCATAAGGGTACGTGGTAGATTGTTTATCGTTTAGATAAAGACAAGACATTCCGTTTTGTTTTTATAAACGGCTAATTTGTATGGAATCGCATTCTGGTTCATTCTCCATTGGAAGGATGTTGTTTACAGAGCTGTTCTGAATGGAACCAGCACGTAGTTCTGGGCCTTGCATCTCAGAGCCTTCTCCTGTCTGAGTCGACGTAACCTTAGGTCGGTGAGCAGTCATTCTGGTAGGATTTACACAGCGAGTGTTAACGGTGGCCGGTGCTAGCGGTCTCAGTGTCGTATTTGTGCACACAACATCTTCATATGGATGTGAAAGTCTATCAGTTCCATAGTCTTCCAGTAGCGTGTGGTAAATGACACAATCCGACATTGTTGTGCCCGACTTGTTCCTCATTCTTATGTCTTCACATTCTGGTATGACAGCCATGTTTTGGCTCATTAAGTCGCCGAGATTGACTTGCGTGCCCACAGTCTGACCCATGACCTTTGTGACACTTGCAGGGCGTGCATTAACCATATGAAGCGTGAAGCCTCTATGTTTGGGCGTATCTAGCCTTACTTTAACTCTGAAAAGGAATAAACACAACAACTATAACATTGTGAACTTTACTTGCTTCTTAATACTTCCGTGTGTAGGCTGATTAACTTCAAACACTACTTCCTTATGGAGATTTAGCGCATAACTGTTCACATACATATAACATGTATCCATGATGAAAAATGAATGTCTCGCATCTGATAGTGGAGAGGTACTTACATGTACGCCACCAGGATCAGCACAGCTATAACCAGCATCCCAGTTAGGCTGGCGAGGATCGGCACTGTTGCACCTGCCCCAAAAGAGATGGAAGGCATAATACGTATCGTCTAAAGTACCAACAATCTCTCACCCCCTCCCCCCTGCTCTCTCTCTCTCTCTCTCTCTCTCTCTCTCTCTCTCTCTCTCTCTCTCTCTCTCTCTCTCTCTCTCTCTCTCTCTCTCTCTCTCTCTCTCTCTCTCTCTCTCTCTCTCTCTCTCTCTCTCTCTCTCTCTCTCTCACACACACACACACACATTGAAAATACATAGTCCTAATGCTTTACGCTCAAATGTCTGCTTTGCTATTTAATGTTTCAGTTTACCATTTAATGACTGTTGTTATCCTATAATTCCATTACCCAAACACATTTTACCATTTCCATTGGTACGATATGTTGTTGTGTCGTTTCCAGGGGCTGCCGTAGTCACCATGGCGTTCTTTGAAAGAAAAACAGATTTGATTTTTTACATGGAATGGTATCAGTATAACCGGAACTATAATTCATGTTGAAGTTTTACAAAAATATGACGCTTGACTTTGATAATCAGCACGAATTCTGTATCTATGTTTCAGCTTAAATCTAAAGGATCATAAAACTACATAGGGTTAGTAGTAATGCATCCCTTAAACAGTAGAACATTACAACAAAATTCATTATTTCAGCTTTGCTGTTATTTTCCTGAATACTTCAATGTCGCGAATGTTTATGGAAATAAATGATAGAGATAGGTGTATTTGCTGATTGTTTCTCGTGATGACTGCCATTTAATCAGATGGTAAGTTCGTGGACAGAAATACTTTTGATCTCAAATCGATGTATGTGAACATATGATCAAGATCAGCTTATATTCGAAGCGTTGAAAAGATACCTTTATTTAACACAAGTGGAGTGATGCGGACTTTCCGATGGACCGAGGCGAATCGTCACTCGGTTTCCCACTATGGGGCGAGCTTCTACTGTCTTGAGGTGAAGTTGTAGAAAGAGAGGTTGACTGAGACAAAAAACAGTAAAGCTATGTGTATAGACTGTGATGCAGACAGTTAGGAGTCACGGTCGTGCGACACCTTACTCAAGGACTCAGCGACCCTAGATGGACCGGGTGGGTATGAAGGCTTACAGTACAACATTGAACGGCAATACAAGGTCACTGTTGTAGTTTCTATGGCGCCCGCAGCTATTACGACAGGTGTAACAATCATACAGAATTGTCCTGGCGACATTATGTGAGGTATTATGTCCAATACGTACATATGTAATCCCTGTGTTTTAAATGAATGGAATATTGCCACACACGCACACGCATACGCACACGGGCATACACACATACATACATATCCTGAAGTGAATAGCCTGTGCAGAATGCCACAATATTATCTATATTCGAGTACTATTGTTGTATTTACGTGTTATTTAATTCATCTCCACTGTGCTATAAATAGGAATACAACCGACTGATATTACCTCAGATATCTACGGAAGCGTCCTAGTGCCACAGTCTGAATTTTTTTCATCTCCTAATTAGGAGATAGCTAAGTCCTGATTAGGCGATAGTTAAGTCCTAATTAGGCGATAGTATCTCCTAATTAGGAGATAGCTAAGTCCTAATTAGGCGATAGTATCTCCTACTTAGGAGATAGCTAAGTCCTAATTAGGAGATAGTAACTCCCAATTAGGAGATAGTATCACCTAATTAGGAGATAGTAACTCCTAATTAGGCGATAGTATGTCCTAATTAGGAGATAGCTAAGTCCTAATTAGGAGATAGTATCTCCTAATTAGGAGATAGCTAAGTCCTAATTAGGCGATAGTATTTCCTACTTAGGATATAGCTAAGTCCTAATTAGGAGATAGTAACTCCCAATAAGGAGATAGTATCACCTAATTAGGAGATAGTAACTCCTAATTAGGCGATAGTATGTCCTAATTAGGAGATAGCTAAGTCCTAATTAGGCGATAGTATCTCCTAATTAGGAGATAGCTAAGTCCTAATTAGGCGATAGTATCTCCTACTTAGGAGATAGCTAAGTCCTAATTAGGAGATAGTAACTCCCAATTAGGAGATAGTATCACCTAATTAGGAGATAGTAACTCCTAATTAGGCGATAGTATGTCCTAATTAGGGGTTTGACCTCATATCGCCTACACCACTATTTCGCCTACAGCTTATATAAACATCCTGTCAAATCCCATCTACCCTGTTCAGGGAATGGAATGGCCCTATTCCACTGTAGTTTCATCGAATGCAACTAAATGGGAGAGAAGACTATTGAGAAGTTACTATTGATACATGATTTGTTTTAAGTATACAGTGAAGGATATTAGTGAAGGGGGTTATGCTTACCCCTGGGTGAGATAATCCCATTGTTTTGATTAGAATTAATACTTCAAAAGATTTATCTTATAAAAGTAAAAAGATTATAATTAGGTCTGTTGTGGTTGCAATGAGGGGTCATCTCAACATAATATTGTTGTGAGACGACTTGGCATCGAACTTTCACCAGAAATATTCCAGATCGACTATGAAGCAGCAGTTATCAGTGCTATTAGTGAAGTCTTCCCCGACAGTTCCGTCCGAGGTTGCCTATTCCATTATTCTCAAGCTTTGTGGCGTCAAGTTTTGGAGAGGGGACTGTCTCGCGACTACATGAACAACCCAGCAGTCCAAGCCCACGTTCGACGAGCAGCTGCTTTGCCACTCCTTCCCCTGAACCAGGTCCAAGATGCTTGGTTTGAAGTCATCGAGCAGTCTCCCGACGGCGACAGAGTAGCAGCCTTCAACGACTACGTCACCAGCACCTGGGTTGAAGATGATGCCAAGTTCCCAGCACACATCTGGAACCAGCACGAAAACACAGGCCCGCGCTCAAACAACCATCTTGAGGGATTCCACTCTGGCTTGAAGAAACGCATACCCCGATCACACCCCAACATCTACCAATTCGTAAAGGAGCTCAAGAAGATCGAGAAGGCATGGACTTGGAGGATAAGGAGACCACGAGCACGTGTAGACCGTGATCGAGATCAGAGGATCGAGAGACTCAAGGTGCAGCTTTCCACCGGTGTGAAGTCTGTGATGCAGTTCCTTGATGCTGTTGGCCACATCCTCAAGCTAAACTGAGAACTCAATTCAATCAAACTCATAACTCTGTGTGCTCCTGATGACAATGAAGTGCTTTATTTATTTTAATTTAAAATCAAAGTTATTAATGTATTAAAGTAATGTGAATCACATACATTTGTTTGTTTTTCCTATCCCTTAGGCTGGTCCATTATTCCATGGGTAACATAGGCAGGAAATGGTGTGCAATGGTGCATAAAGTTGTTTTGATAAGACTGTAGGCGAAACGGTGATGTAGGCGATATGAGGACAGGCCTAATTAGGAGATAGCTAAATCCTAATTAGGAGATAGTAACTCCCAATTAGGAGATAGTATCACCTAATTAGGAGATAGTAACTCCTAATTAGGCGATAGTATGTCCTAATTAGGAGATACTAAGTCCTAATTAGGAGATAAACAAAATTCAGACTGTGGCACTAGGACGCTTCCGTACATATCTGCTCTGCAAAAATGAGAATAACTTAATAGTTAGATAGTTGCCTCGCCGAAAAGAACCATATCCCTCTTAGGAAAGTATTCTTTTTCAATGTTGTTGTATGCATAGATAAACACACACATACAAACATATCCATGATGTACATACATACAGACGTACGTACGTACGTACGTACATACATACATACATACATACATACATACATACATACATACATACATACATACATACATACATACATACATACATACATACATACATACATACATACATACATACATACATACATACATACATACATACATACATACATACCCATCCATCCAGGCAGGCAGGAGGCAGGCAGGCAGGCATGCAGGCATGCAGGCATACATACATACATACATACATACATACATACATACATACATACATACATACACACACACACACACACACACACACACACATACAGACAGACAGACAGACATACATATACACACTAACGCGCACACACATACAGACAGACAGACATACACACACACACACAGACAGACAGACAGACAGACAGACAGACAGACAGACAGACAGACATGCAGGCAGGCAGGCAGACATACAGACATACATACATACATACATATACACATATAAACACTTACGCGCACGCACGCACACACCCACATACATACACGCTCGCACGCACACACGTACGCACGCACATACAAACATCTATACATACACACGCATGCATACATACATATACACATATAAACACTTATGCGCACGCACACACACACCCACATACATACACGCTCGCACGCACACACGCACGCACATACACACATCTATACATACACACGCATGCATACATACATATACAGATGTACACACTCACGCGCGCGCACACACACACACACATATACATACATACATAGCATATAAAACATACGCACACACGCACATACGCACATACATACATACATACATACATACATACATACATACATACATACATACATACATACATACATACATACATACATACATACATACATACATACATACATACATACATACATACATAGTATGCATAATAAATATCGGATTGTGTTTAGAACGCCGCCATGTACATATTGCATTCTACAGTAAGTATCCTTGAATAACTTACTTGGTGTTGGAAGGCGCAGTATATGGACATGTACGAATTAAGATCGATTTACTGTGGAGAGATAGAACCATATAACCTTTATAAAACTGACATTACAGGAGTACATATTCGCGATCAACCAAGCAATGTACTCACATCGGCCTTAACGTCCTCCGACATCACAAAGTACCCTTTCTTAACGACAGTGTGGACCTGTCAATTACGTCTTATAAAACAAAGGATTTTTCCTTTTTGCGTCAGATGTTTCAGAAGTCAAATTCAAATTCCGAACAGAAAATGTGAGCCTCTTAACCTACGACAAGTGTTTGAATGCACATTATTACGTACCTCGGTCGAATCAACATTACTGCATGGATAAAGTGATACGAAAGTGATATTTTGCTCTGAATATTTACGTTGTTTTCGTTTCCGTTTTTTCGGTAACAATTTCCAACTTCCTTGCCTTTAGGATTAAAGGATAAAAAATGCGGAACGTATTTATACTCATCTCCGTTTATAAGATATATATTTTCTTCTGGATAGTGCGATATTTTTAAAGTGGATTATGCACCTCCCTTGAAGCAATGTAATTATACATGTCATGCATAAAAAGCATTAAACACTCTGAAATTAACGATTTCTGTTTAATAATTGATAGCTTTGCTCTAACCCGAGTTTGCCTCTCCGACACTGTAAACATCAGGTCGCTGAAAAACATATGTCGTTATATTATGTCAACGATATGGTTCTGTAATTCATCAACTTTGCGGATGTAATCAGGATTGTACGTATGCTTCAGATGAACATTGAACGAAGCAGATAAAATGTTTATTGATATGAAGAAGGAAAAAGCGCTGGATTACTAAAGATATAGTAAAATCAGTATCTTCAACGATTCAGGACTTTCTTCTTAACATGAATACAAATTTTAAGCAAGAGTTGTACCATAATCTTTAAAATCTTCATAGAAACAAGATGTTCGATTTTATATTACAAGAAATTATGACAGGTGGACACAGAAGACAAGTTATTGGAATATTGCTCGACACAAAAAGAAACTGAATACACCCATAAACAATCTGCAGTGATATGAAATGAGTACAATATGTTAGCTGTCCTCCGACCACATAGCCTGGTCGCCTTTATCGAGAGGCCGAAGTGATATAGCTAAAATATACTAAACAGCAAAAGAAACGCAGCAGGAGGGATTTTTTTCATTGCAATGAAATCTATTGAGTTATATAATTCGTGATTGCATTGAATTTCAAGTATGGTCACTACCATGGGTGAACATCAATGACTGGGTATTCCCTCAACTTAACAAAGTCTATTGTCCATCAGTAGTGCATGTGACCTCCTCGAACTGCCTAGCATGCATGAGATGAACTTCACATTGAATGAAAAAATCTCTGGATGAAGACTTGGGGAACATTTTTCCATTCTCTCACCACGAATGCTTCTAGTTGGTGTATTGTCTGTGGCCTTCTTTAATTCTTCGTCCGATTTTGTCCCATATATGCTGGGTGCCTGTTGTGTGAAAGAGATAGCAAAGGTGGCGCCTTGATGCTGCTGTTTCTCAGAAAGTCACATACAAAACTGAGCAGTGTGTGGGCGAGCTTTGTTCTGTTGTTTTCAGGCTGTGTCGCAATCAGGGGAGCGACGTGACGTCGGAAAACGTCATCTCTGAAAACTGCAGCCGTCACACGTCGACGGAAGACGACATTAACTAATTTTTAACAGAATATATCCATGCAACTCAAATGATACGCTGTGGAAGTTAAATATTTGTCTGAAAAAGACCAGAACCTGATTAGAGCATTATCCAATGCCACTGTCAGAATTAAAAAGCCAATACAAAGGGTATACTATGAAAAGTTATAAAATATCCAATAGACACAATCTTTATTTTTTACAAGAGCAACTGAATGAGCGAACAACCATGAATGAAAAGGTATCACATAAAATGACAAACCCGCATCCACCTAATGTATTGTATTGCAATGAAATAGGTTTCAGAATGAGTTTGACATTGCAACCGCCACGTATTAATACGGATCGTGTTTCTGTCTGTATTTATGTACATCTGTGTTAGAACCTCATTATGTGACTAAACAGAAAAAGTACAGGTACTAGAATCTGTTCTTTACTGAAAAAGTGTAATCCCAAATATACTACCCATCAAAAGTTTAGACTCACTTAAAGCATTCACTATATGTTATGTATATACATGTGGTTATGTATGTTACACAGGATTAAATCGACACGTTGTATTTATACTACGTGGTACGAACACACATACACATATCTGGGTCTTTTGTGTACTTTTTGTGTACATTCTTTTACCTTTAGTTTGAAAGTTTGAAAAAAAACACAATAGACAAGTAATTAAAAGTGCGAAAAATTCCGATTAAAAATGACAATCTTTGATCTTTTCGTGCAAGGTAAAGTGTGTAGTTATGTACATTTGTGCCCATTGCTTGCTGCGATAAGCAAACAATTCAAAGCTTTTCATTTGCTCACAGGGTTTCACTTGCAAGATTTTGCTTCTAATGACTTTGCGGGAACAAATAGAATGGCGTGAGTGGGACAATGTAGATAATCCGAATGAAAAACAATGAAACAAACAAAATATTGCGTGTCAAAGCTTTAAGTGAATTGACATACATGTATGTGTTACATAAGTTTTACACAAAATGTGGTGTCAGTATTTAAGTTATTTTATTCTGTTTTTACCACAAGCACGTAATATAAGCATAATTAGAGACGGTTTAACATGGTTTGATAAGTTGCAACTCATGCTTATATTTCCAATTTTCCAAGCTGTGCTGAACATAAACCAAATCAAATAAATACACATCAGTTATGAAGAGCAAGGATGTTAGTTTAGTGGATATTCAACTTGCTTGATATAACGAATGCGATGTGTCGGTGAAGATACTAGCTTGCCCGATAACCATGTTACGTGGCTACGTGGAAAGGTAACCATGTTACGTGTCTACGTGGAAAGGTTGTATTCGTTGAAATAAATCAAATCGAATAAAGTTGTTATGGATCAAAATAATATCTCCTTTGTCCCACCACACATGACAACGGTTCCCAATTGCGCAGATCGATGCTCATGCTGTTGATCACTGGATTGTCTGGTCCAGACTCGTCTATTTACAGACCGCCGCCATATAGCTGGAATATTGATGACTGCGGCGTAAACTAAACTCACTCACTCACTCACTTTGTCCAACCCAGCAGCTTCTCAGTGGCATTTAACTCAGTTATCATGAGCTTGTTTGGGTGTTTGTTCTGCATACGTCAATATTAAAGCTTTGGATGTGAGTGACTTTTAATTGCTATAAACAACAAATCTGGTACTAAAGAAAAGCCTATGGCTTCATTAAGTTTTATTGACCTCGTGTTCTTTGGGTCAATAAACACAGATACACACTGCCACTTCTGAAGACACTTGAAAGCGAGATGTGACATAATCACCTTGGCGTACCCCTTCCCTCTGTGTTCCTCCAGAACGTGTAACATCCCAATGCAGCCATAGTGGTAGGTGATGGCAAACCCAACCATCTCTCCCTCACTGTTGTAAAGACAGCAGGAAGGTAGTTTCCGTATCATTTCTTGAATGTAATCATCAGAATATTCTCTTCTCAAATTCCAGAAAGCATCTACCATTTTGGCTTGATCTTCTTTGAGACTCTTAAGCGTAAAACCTTCTGGCACTGGTCTGAAAATTAAGTTTATGAATATAAACGACGAGGCTTACTCGCACCTGATCTATCGTGGTGTCGAATGAACGGGCATCATTATGATAACATTAGTTTACATATGTGTATGATTCTTGCCCTTATGGTGTGTCATCATATGAAATATGTTTACATGCCGTAGAGTATCCCCAAGAGTGTATCCCCCACTGTCTCAACTTGTCTGTTAAATGTTGAGTGTAATACATGACTATATTGGAATCATTTGGCTAATGTTATTGTCTAATGTACCGTTTCAACCGACTTCCAATTTGCATTTTTCTGGAAGAAGGTGGATTGCCCGAGACATGAAAAAAAGTCTCCTCATGAATTAACCAAGCATCCAATATTCCCTTAATATGACAGTGGTTCATTTGCAAGAATATTTACATGGCTATGTCATATGTTCATGACTATACCTTATATCAGGATTAATTGTAAGCAAGGTGACACAAGTATTCGATACCAGATATCTGCCAATCAATGAAATGAAATCAGTATTAAAGTGTGTTAAAAAGGCCCAACTTCAATTGTATGGCGTCCCACGCGGTGGTATGAAGGGACAATGACTAAAGCCCCAACTAAATCAACGTATGTATCATAGTTTACTTGAGTTCCAAGGTATCTTCCGTCACACGGAGGAACACGGCAGTCGATCCAAGCGAGATGGAAACTTGATGGTGTTTCATCACTTCTATCACAACAGACATCAGCCTCGTGTCCACACCTAAATAGTCAATGCATATCGTATATAATAATGTTAATTTCTGCTGAAAATAAAATATTTAAAGACTTTATCAGAATATTTAATCAGGTGCAGAGAAGCGGCCGCCTACGTTGCCAGTTGGATCCTGTTGACGTAAGAGGGCATAAGCAATTTAGCTTGTCATAATCTTACAGTTCAGGTCGGAGTGAGTGAGTGAGTGAGTTTAGTTTTAAGCCGCTTTTAACAATATTACATCAATATCACGGCGGGGGACAACATAAATGGGCTTTATATATTGTGCCCATGTGGGGAATCGAACCCGGGTCTTCGGCGTGACGAGCGAACGCCTTAACCACTAGGCTACCCCACCGAGCAAGTTCAGGTCGGAGAGCAAGAGTATATCACATTACATCAAGTACCCACATCCTTTGGCCTAACTGGTACCCTTTTGGAGAGAGTGGGTGGGGAATATTTCAGCAATATCACAGAGGATTGTACCAGAAATGGGCTTCACAAATTATACCCATGTGGAGAATCAACCCCTGGTCTTCAGCTTTAACCATTAGGCTATCCCAATGCCCATTCCTTGAATGTTCTCATTACCTGAAGTGATGCCATCAAAATATATAAATGTATCTGATACAAACATGTAAGGGAGATGAAAGTGTAAGCGTATGTTCCTGTACGTAGTGACAGATGTTGTCATTGTCATGTATATTTGTGCTTTTGAAGCTCTGATTGATTTTTATGCTTTTTTCACTGCTTCTGTCCTCTGCATTTGTCTTCTCACAAAAAGGGATATTTTGTTGAATATTTAACGTTGAATAGGTCGAAAATGATTCATGTCGAATTCTTATAAGAGTTTTGTGTGTCAAATATGATAATTGTTTATTTTGCATTGAAATGAAACATTGTACAGCCATGAAGATCGGAAACGTGGTGTAAAGTATGAGAAATACTTGTGAGTCCCGTTTATGAACTCCTAAACGAATAAACATTCGAATTTATCAACAGCAACACGTCCTTATCATACTTTCTTGGAAGGTTTACCCTTCACATTGGCTGTGGCCAAGATGGCAAGGCATGAAAAATAATCATGACATTATAATCACAAATTCCAATGATAACTTAGTGAGTGGATTTCGGAAAATGACACATTGTGGGTACAAAGTCTTTCTGGTATAATTATCTGGCGTTTTCCTAGTTGGTACGCGCACTGTTAGGGCAATGGTGAACCAAAAATCATAATCGATTATTTTTAATCGGGTATCTAAATTAGATCAAATTAGCCTCGTACATTATTACAGTTATAACATTATCTCCCTGGCAATTCAATCGATGTGCACCCCAATTACGTTCACGCATTCCGAGGTAGGATGCCGCCAAAGCTGTCTTACCGGGTATCCATTCACTGCTTGGTGAAGAGAGGCAAATTTTAAACAAGAGATTGCATGACACGCATTTTGAGTTATTAACATAATATTCAAAATGGCCATTTGACAATGGCTTATATTTATTTGTTTTTGCCTGCCAAATACCCGTTGTATCGCAGGGGCCTACAATAGTCACATATCAGCAAGACAATCCAGTGACCGATACTGAGTGAGTGAGTGAGTTTGAGTTTTACGCCACTTTCAGCAATATCACGGCGGGGAACACCAGAAATGGGCTTCACACATTGTACCCATGTAGGGGAATCGAACCCGGGTCTTCGGCGTGGCTAGCGAACGCTTTAATCACTAGGCTACCCCACCGCCCTGACCGATATTGTGAGAAGCATCCACGACGAAGGTGTATGATGGCACCCGAGTAAGCAACCTGACAATCCGATGCATTTATATGCCTATAACGGCAAGCATGGGTTGCTTTTGACCTATTCTAACAAGTGACGACTTACATTCAAAATTCTGTTTTCTTGACCAGTCTATAACATCATTGTTTTGCAGGAGATCCCTTAGTGCACCCGTATCTGTAGCAAAGATGTTCACAGAGGGCTCCAGAAACTGCAACTGAAAATCAATTAAATGAAGTACAGGTCGTGCCGGCGATAAAAACGTGTGTAGCTTTAACTGCTAATAAGAGCGGATGGTGCATCCATTAAACATATGTGTTTTGTATGGTATAATATTCATGAAAGCATATATATATCTATGATCCCGAAGGGTCGTTGCGATGTTGTGGAACCGGAACATTTCTCACCCTGTGTACGCCTAGAATGAATGAGGGTAATGTAAATGGCACATTGTGGGTACATGTTCTGCACGGGATGATCCCATTTCGCCTACATCCCATTTCGCCTACAGTAATTGAGGATAGCAACTCATCCATCCCTCATTCAGTGAATGGGATGGCCCACATTTCCTGCTCAGTGTCGTCAAAAGAATATGTTCACTGTTTTGTTTTGTTATTTTATTAATTAAAGTGGTTTGATGCTTAATAATGCAAAGTACTGTAATAGGTTTGAGATCGAAGTTACTTTATATCTATGTTGATAAGATTTGTTGTTTTAATAAAGCCTTAATAAAGTGGCTACTCTCAGGCTTCCTGCTAAATGTGCAATTTTGTTATGTTCTCTTCCCCGTGTACTGTTGTTTTAATGTACAGTATATAAGGGATCTGAAATGTTGTTTGTGATGTCAAAATGGCAAACGCATTTCTTCAGAGAGTAGAATTTATTACGACACAGAGAGGCGGGCAGCAAGTTCTATATGATGGATATCGCTATCGACTGAATGTGAAACGTCAGTTGGCAACACACTGGAAGTGTGTTCAGACAGGATGCAAGGCGCGTTGCAGTACCATAGGGGACCACATCACCATTGCATCCGACCACTGCCATCCCAGAGAGAATGAAGATCATACGCGTCTTCTAAGCCGACTCCGTGAACGTGTGCAGACCGACATCACTCCAGTTTAGTAGATCTACGATGATGAGCTGAATGCAGCTGAAGATGTGAACGGAGCAACCATGCCATCCTTCAACAGCTTGAAGTCCGGACTGTATCGACAGCGAAGCAAGTGTATTCCACCTCTTCCCCAGTCTCGAGCTGAGGTTGATCTGCAAGAACCTTGGACTCACACCCCGAAGAACACCACCGAGACCGTTACCGGTACGGTACCATCGCCAGAAGTAATCCAGACTTATTTTGAAGCTGTCGTCATTAGTGCCATTGTAGAAGTGTTCCCTGAGTCGCCACCCCGTGGATGCTACTTCCATTACTGTCAGGCCCTTTGGCGTCACGTTGTTGACTATGACCTGGCTCTCGATTACAAGGACTAGAACCTACCAGTCCGCTCACATGTGAACAGAGTTGGTTCCTTGCCCCTGCTGCCTATTGGTGAAATCAACGCTTTCCAAGAGAGATATGGAACCAACATGAAACTATTGGCCCGAGAACTAACAACCACTTGGAAGGCTTCCATCTGGGACTAAAGAAGGGGTTGAAGAAGTCCCATCCTAACCTCTAGGAATTTATCAAGGAAATCAAGAAGACTGAGTCAGCTGACCGACGACTTCGCTTGCAGATAGACCATGATGCTGGAGTCCGCTCACGTCCTCGCAAGTACAAGGAACTGGACACTAGACTGACTCGCTTGAAGGACCAGTTAGCAACTGGAAGAAAGACAGTGCTGCAGTTTCTGGACGCAGCTGGACATTTAATTAAACTGCAAATACAATAGATTTGTTGAGAACAAAGATATGAACTTGATATCTTCTATGACTTGACATATAACTTGATATATTTGTGCTTATGTGATTTGATATAACTTGATATGTTCAAGTTCATCATTATATTATTTTATATATACTTGAGATAGATAGATATATATATAGATATATAGATATATATAATTATTAAAATGGTCAAACCAACTCAACCCGACTCAAAAGTTTGTTTCTCATTATTTGGGTTAGTCCATTAAACTACAGTGAACAGCATACAAATCCTATGTTCACTCAAGTGTAAATTTGTTTTGATAAGGGTGTAGGCGAAATGGGATGTAGGCGAAATGGGAACAAGCCTTCTGCACACATCCTTGCAAGCTCGGAATTTTCGTGACCCCAAGGACTGACAGTTTGTTAAGGAGCAATGCCCTTCGCTACAGTGCTTTGTCTCACCTTAATCCACCTGTCACCGCTTTGGATTGTCAATATTAGGTATGTTTACCATGTTTATCAGTGTTATGAAATGATAAGGCGTCAAGTTTCATAGCTTTAATGTAAACAAACAAGTTACACTCCAACGATGGCGTCTGCTCGAACGCGCATAGTGATGCACTGCGCATGCGCGTCTCAGGGAGTGTTTATTGTCCATTGTCATTGCACGATACTGTAACATCTCCCTTTCTTTGAGATAACTTGTTACCATGGATAACATCAACTCAAGACCAAACAATAAAGATATCTCTGATAAGTAAGTATTACTTATTACTTTGGTTTTACACTTAAGACCTGTTAACCTGTAACCTGAACCAACAAGTCACTTAAAACCTTAAAGTCACTGATATGAATACTTGGTTATTCTCATAACCTAATCTCGTGATGACTTAAGCCCTAAACATAGTCATTGAATCGTTATGGCTTCCTCACGGCTCGGCCACTGGATGTCCTGAACACAGGGGGAGTGGTAACTGCTGGTGGTTCCGGGTTCTCGTACCGGACATTTGGTTCGGCACTCTGTGTAGTGTCAAGGTTGTCGTTCTGTTCCAGAGAGATAGGAGGATACACATTATACTCAGGAGTGATGTCAACACTGCCTGGCGACACCAACTGCAGGTGTCTGCGATTACGCCTGAGGTCATCTTTAGGTGTTCTGATCAAATATGATCTTGGCATTGTATTCCAGCCTTTCTCCCCATCAATCTGGAGACGAACTTCGTCACCAGGTTTCAACTCTGGGAGGGATTTCACATTGTGGTGTTGGTCAAAGAACTTCCTTGAACACTCCTTGTGAATTTTATCACTGACTCGCACAGCATGGAAATCTGGCCACTTAGGCTGCAACACCTTCTCTAGGGTCGGGAGGGTCCCACGAAGTTGTCTCCCCATTATCAACTCTTCCCCGTTGACTGAATCGGAGTGCTCCTGTAGCTTAACAGAGCAAGGAATGGATCAGTCTGCTTCAGAGCGTGTTTTGCTATTTTCACACCGGCTTCGGCCATCCCATTAGCTTGTGGAAAATGGGGTGAAGATGTGGTGTGTTTGAATCCATACTGATTCTTGAACTGCACAAACACATGAGCTACGAACTGCGGTCCGTTGTCTGTAACTAGCTCTTCTGGTATATCCCATCTTGAGAATATGCACTTGAGCTGGCCAATCACACCTTTCGATGTAGTGTCCATTAGATACACTACTTCAAGATATCGTGAAAAGTAGTCGATCACCACAAGGTATTGGAGTCTCTTAAATTGTGCATAGATCGGCCGCGACTCTCTGCCATGGTCGATCGGGTAGGGAACTTGGCTGTAGTTGCTCTGTGCTGATTGGTTGATCTGGCAAAATGTACAGGAGGATACTTTATCCTGAATGTGTTGGTTGAGTTCAGTCCACAACACACTCAATCAGTCCCTGGTGTCCCTCATGAATCCTATCGAGAATGTCTGTTCTCATTTCTTCCGGGATCACAATCCTGTCTCTGTACAGTAGAATGTTTCTGGATACTGACAGTTCACCTCTGCACGCGTGTGCTGGTATTGGCACATCTCTGTATGCCGCCAGCCAACCGTTCCTAGTCAGTGACATGACAAGCTGAAGAGTCTTGTCCTGTGTCGTGGCTTCCTGAATCTCTGTGACTTTATGGTCCGACATAGGTTTTGTCTTGATGACGGACTCCGTGTAGGCTTCTACTTCCTCTACCAGGTTGTGAATTTCCGCTGCACTGGAATTTTCTGTGTAGTTCAGTGGTGCCCGTGAGAGCATGTCCGCTACCACCATGTTCTTCCCTGCTACGTGTTGAATCTCATCAGATACATAAGGAGACGAGTGCATCTGATTGGTGCTCTATCAAGATCTGACTTGTTGATCAAGGGTACTAGCGGCTTATGGTCTGTCAGTAGTCGGAACAGGTCCAGTCCATACAGGTATCTTGCACACTTCTCGCAAGCCCAAACACTCGCTCCGCCTGTGTGCTGTGGATGACCACACTTGCAGCAATTTGGTGGTGAGTTGTTAAGTCCGCACTGCTGGGCATGTTACAAACTGCTCCGTGATCCACCTTGTCTGCGTCCCTTGTTGCTATAGTAACCAGACTTGTTATGACGTTTCGGCTTGGCCCCTCTAACTTTGCCTAAGTTAGTGGCACTTCTGTCCGCACCCTGACTCTTTATCATTTCAGAGTTTCTAGCCATCTGGATTGCTGTTTCAAGATCCAGTTTTGACTCCATTTGCAATTGTTGTGCTAGATCCTGGTCTAGGATTCCTGTGACAATTCAGTCCCGAATGTATTCACCTTTCTTGTCCCCAAAATTGCAATATTCTGCCAGTTCATATAAGTGACGAATAAATGCTTCAACAGATTCACCTGGTTGTTGTGATCTCTTGTTAAAACATGCCCTTTCATAAATCACATTTCTCTTGGGGATGAAGTGATTATCAAATAACTTCAAAACAAAATCAAAGTCTTTCTTTTTATCTTCATTAGGAAAATGAAAAGACTTCATGATATGTTCTGCTTCTCTACCCATCGCATAGACGAGTGAACTTACTTGTAATTCGCCATCTTCATCCTTGTATTTAGACAAAGTGAAAATTGAAAATCTTAGGCGCCTTGAATCCAGACATAACGGGCGCATTATTACAATTTATGCCACAGATTCACTCACAAAGTTAGTTTGGGGCATCGGCGTGGTTTCCTACGGTGTTTCACATCTGACACCATGTTATGAAATGATAAGGCGTCAAGTTTCATAGATTTAATGTAAACAAACAAGTTACATTCCAACGATGACGTCTGCTCGAACGCACATGGTGATGCACTGCGCATGTGCGTCTCAAGGAGTGTTTATTGTCCATTGTCATTGCACGATACTGTAACAGTCAGTACATGCCTACGACATTAGGACAATTATCGGGTTGAAATGCTTAAAAGTAGAATTCATCAGAGCATACCATTCAGGTGAAGTTATGTATTTTCCCTCAAGTACATATCGACATCCTTTCAAATTTACAACTCAGATGTTGACATATTGACAGATGTTGATTTCAGCGTGTTCGTGACGGCTGTATACTAAGACAGTTAACTGTATAAACTGTTGGCGAGCTGTGTTAAACGCCGCTTTTCATATATACTACCCATCAAAGTTTTAGACTCACTAGTGTAAATGTAACCAATTACTTCAAGCAACTGTTCTAAACTAGATTTTGATATTCCATACTGTTTAAAGGTACTGTTTACACATGAACTGATGTATTGTAAAACAAATTAGTAACGTTGAACAGATTATCGTCAAGAGATCAATAAAAGATGAAACTCAGTGAAAATTGGTGAATTCTTAACAAAACTTTACACCAAAATGCAGCTGTTCACATGCACGATATTTGCACATGCTTTTCAGCAATTTGATGCATGATCATTGTGCAATTCATCTGCAGAAGGTTTGCAGTTGGCTCCCCAAGGTTAGTGGAGAAATTCATCTTCGATGTTACCACATACATATACATAACATATAACGAGTGCTTTAAGTGTATCTAAACTTTTGATGGGTAGTATATTAGATCACAGCGTTTTTCGGCACACTTGTATCGCACATACAAGCATCGATCACAACCAGGACACATTTTGTATCCCAATCTGCATCGATCGTCACACATATACATGCAACATATTACCACCGCACAACATATCCCGCGAGTAGACCAAGAATAGATTGACAAGACAATGTTGTTGATTCACGTAAAGTACACGTTCAAATATCCCGTCTCTTTAAATAACGATACATTGTGGCATTCCTAATGACAGTAGTGATGACATGCATTATGTTTGAAGTATGCATATACCTGTAAAGATTTCCTGTTTGAGCGTACAACCAGCGCTTTAAATTCAGGCCATGTGTCCACGATGAACTCATACCCCGTTATGAAATGTTCTAACCTGGCTGAAATTTCTCCACAAATCTGAAATCACAAAGAATATTTTCCTGAGTGAAGGAATTATATCAGACATCATTTCAATTTTACTCGGGCTATTCTCATATGGCTGAAATACGTGACACAAATCGTTCCACATTGATGTTATATTTCGCAACATGCAGAACTTGCTATTTGTTGAATGCATTCTACGGTTTCAAATGAGAGTGAATGAGTGAGTTTAGTTTCACGTCGCACTCAGCAATATTCCAGCTATATGGCGGCGGTTTGTAAATAATCGAGTCTGGACCAGACAATCCAGGGATTAACAGCTTGAACATCGATCTACGCAATTGGGATACGATGACATGTGTCAACCCAGTCAGCGAGCCTCACCACCCGATCCCATTAGTCGCCTCTTACGACAAGCATGGGTTACTGAAGATCAATTCTAAGCCGGACCTTCACGGGTGGTTTCAAATGTGGATAGCACTATTCTGTCTTGTCAAAAACATATGCATAAACGTACAGGTACCTATACTGTGTAAACAGATTGAGTTTTACGTCGAGTATCTCTGTACAAACTAGAAACAACCCTGTCAATATAGCATCGTTTTCTACCAAATATGCAAGTAATTACCAAATAGGGATATGGCTATACTAGTATGTTAGTTAGATAAAAGTGAAAACACTACCTTAATCCACCCGTGATATTTAGTAACTTGGTGCATGACGTCTCTCATCTGGTTCTCCGAGAGTATCACAGGCATAATGACGGGCACGAATGATGATATGAATTCAGCCAACAGATTTCCTTCTGGGGATACAAGAGGTTATACAATGTTGGATACATCGTGGTACATATACGTTAATTGTAGATAAACGTGTGTGGTAGACATAAAATATATGTATATCTTGTATAAAATGTTATTAGACGATAAAAGCACAGTAACTCAATCCTGGAATAATGTACGATGGAATCATTAGCTTGTTGTGTCATAATATCACACAAACTTACACCAGAAACACAGAGCCGACGTTTAGCAGTGCACCATAGCACATATCTTCACAAAATAATTACACAACCCGAATATCCCTCCTACGCGTGTCAACGGTATTTTCAGGGAGCTGGACATATATCATTGTATATAACACATAGAATTATATGTGCATCTTTAACAGTTCAGTACAAAGAGCATCTGCTCGGAAAGCGGAATGTCGGTGGTTTAATCCTGTTTAGTTCAAGGCATAAGTACATGCGGCTTATACCTGAAACATGTATCGGGACAAATCTAATGGGGAACAATTCTATACAATATTACACAATACATAAATGCACTGTTGTAGCATAAAGAAGAATGTCAAAATTGTGCAAACTTGTAGACCCGTCAGTATAAAGATATTTATATTTGTGAAGAAACTTTATGAAAATCATTGAAGATGGCATGTTGTGTTCACTGATTGTCAAAATAATAGTTCAACTGTTGGCCACACTAACGGATAAGTCACAATGCTATTTCGCTATAGTTACTTTTATACTTAACGTTAAATAACCCACGAGCAGAATAACAATGTACCACAGTGACAGATGTGTTCAAGTATATGAGCAACACGTACCTCACAACCGCTGTAGTTCTTCAGCGGAAAACATTTGCTTCACCAACTTAAATACGGGATATAGTGTAGCAGGATTTATAGGCCCGGTGCCCGGTTCTGTCAAAGGGACAAGATGAGACCATTGTCTAATTATTACTTAGTCCAGAAAAATGATTCATTTATCTTCCTAGAAGACGTCATGAGAGATAATGATTCACAGAATTGAAGTCACGGTGATATAACTTAGAAGACGTGTTGTATTGGCCGTGTTGCTTACATCCGTCACTGATTCAACCTGGAGATGTCATTCAAAGAGCGCGAGTGAGTTCAGACTGAATGTCGGCATTGTTTCTGCCCTATACCGACGAGTCAGCTGTTAGAAATGCAGTGAGAATGATTTTATCCATAAAATTAAGCTAAATACTCCCGAGAAAATAGAGTAGAATTCATATTTTGAAATGCCATAGTCACTGACCAATCGCGGATCCAATGGACGTTGAGAAAGCGAAGTTTAACCCTTCTCAGCTGGTAACCCTTTGATAGATAAATTCATTGTTGCTGGAATAAATCAATTTTCGGTATGCCATACTTTGTATGCATTAATCGTGGGTTCTTTGATGAATGTTTCACAAAGCAATAGAGAATAGAGGGCACCTTAAAAATATCAAATGTGCAAGGGCTACTTTATGTTATTAAATATGCAGTTAAATACTAAATGTCCCTGCTGGAATTTCTTGTTTGTTATTAGTAGTATAGAGAAAGAAAACTAACATTTCAGAATAATTTCCCTTCTTAACTATATCACAGAAGTGAGTGAGTGTGTTTAGTTTTACGCCGCTCTCAGCAATATTCCAGCTACATGGCGGCGGTTTGTAAATAATCGAGTCTGGACCAGACAATCCAGTGATCAGCAGCATGAGCATCGATCTACGCAATTGGGATACGATGACATGTGTCAACCAAGTCATCGAGCCAGACCACCCCGATCCCTTTAGTCGTTAGTCGACAAGCATGGGTTACTGAAGATCAGTTCTAACATATCTTCAATTAGACAATTTATGGATGATCAACTTCTTTATTCGGATCATGACATGTTACAGGTGTGATATCAGCAAAGCACAGTACCAGAAACAGGTAATAACATTGTGCCTCGTCATACACCGTATTCAGATTCCCTGATATCATTGTTGCGCCCGTTGCGTGCTCAACATGACGAGGTGATATATACCAGGAGATCCAGTTCTGTTAACACGGTCAGATGTACATGTAGGTACGAGGTCCTGTTGCTGCGGACAACGTGATGGAGTGTTGCACTTCCTTATGTGCCCTTCCTATGGACTAATTATAGCCAGTCGTTATGTGGCGGTTTATGGTGACTTGTATACCTTATAGACATGCACACTTCAGCGACACGGAGAGACATGTCAGGGTGACAGAGATGTCATGTTAAAAATACATGTTCATAACTGTTTTTGTGTATTTTCTATTTTATTCATTCATTCATTCATTCTGTGAGGAGCGAGAATATATCGCATGTAGACAGATTGGCATTATGGCTTCCGTGCAAGCTTCCCGTTGTCTTAGAAATAAGTCAAGTATTCATGTTTACTCTAACAGAAAACCGCCAATAATTTGTTAAAGGTACTGTATGAAACAACAGCAGACATGTGTGTTCACAAGTCTCACATTGTATCACGAGGTCAACCGAATATACACGCGATATATTTTGGAGAGGTCCGTAAACAAAACCTATTACACAACGATAGTTTAAACAAATTCAATACACAAATGCGAGTGAACTGATGCGTTTTAGCTTTTAGATTCCAGCAACATGACGGCACACCAGAAAGAGTGACGTAGTCACACCAAGACGTAGTACCTCAGTCGTTACTGGTTTCCTACTTGTTCAATAACTCATACAACCGTGTCTGTCTGTTTGTCTGTCTGTCTGTCTGTCTGTCTAATCTGTTTGATTTGGAGGAAGAATACATAGCATTTAAACATGCTGACGTGACATTATGGTCTCAATGGGAGCTTCCTGTTGTCTCAGAAATATATTCATGTTTGCTAATTATGAATTAGTATAATTCATGTTTGCTCTAACAAAAGAAAACTGCCAATAATTTGTTCTTCACTATATAAATATATATATATATAGAGAGAGAGAGACAGGCAGATAGATAGATTATTCACATTATATATATATATATATATATATGTGTGTGTGTGTGTGTGTGTGTGTGTGTGTGAGAGAGAGAGAATGTTACTCTTTTTCAGTCCTTATCATCAGCTCGTGGCTGATCGATATGCTAGAAGTACTAACGGATGAATGTAATACTCGCTAGTAATGAAAACCCTACTGTAGCAGGTATTTATAGTAAATGTTCTTCCCAAGGGCATTACGCTTCTCTGTATGGCTTTTAATGAGTAACAGATATAGCAGCCTGCAGCTGATTATACATAGAATAATATTCCACACTCTATAGTGTCCACGTTCATGTGTTCTTTTTACATTTAGCCCCAATTACATAAGTGATAGCTTAAACACAGAGATGTAGCTGATAAGAATATAACAAACTTATGTTGCTTTAAAAATGTAGATAAAAAGATTGTCGAAATCCCATAAAATCTTCAAATACTGTATTTTTCGTTGCTTAAATTCAGCTTTAAACACAAACATTCAGTCACTCTTACACTCTTCAAAGATCATACATCCTGTCAGGAATCCTGGTTAGAATAGGTCGACCTATGCTGTCGTAAGAGGGGGCCAAATGGATGGTGGTCATGTTCGGTGGCATCGGTGTTTGCGTGCATCGTACCCGACAACGTGGGTTTTTGTAATATGACGAAATTGTACAGGCTGATTTCGTTTGGTTGGCAATACTGTTGTGCAGCGTAAACTTACAAACAAACCCCAATATGGAAAAGAATACTATTATCGAAGTTGGGGATATTCAAGGAAAAGGTGTGAGAACTATAATAATTATTATTTTATCTCAAATGAGATAAATATTTTAACAGTGCAAGAGGGACATCGGTCTGAGATTTGAATTAGTCACTGAACATCAGATGGATTTCATTAGATTATAGGCCAAGGCGCCATATTGTCCATCACGTCAATTATCGCGCCTTCTAAGGATATTCCAGACATGTTCCATGGGTGCAAATGAGTGCTGAGTGCCATGGTCAGGCGGTTGTGTTCTCCTAACAGTACCAGCCCTGTGTTCTCTTTCTTTGTCACTCTCAAACACAAAACGACGTCAGCACGTGTAACTCCTGGGTGTTGTTTTCTATAGCCCATTGACAAGTCCGTGAATAGCATGTAAATTTGTTCTGCAAGACGATCACAGACCGTTACTGAGCTACCCCTTAAACGATAGGTCTGTCTAACAATACCGACATGAAAACGCTCACATTGTCCTCGCCACACTCTCTTGCGCATGTCAAGGAAGTCCAAAGAAAACCTCCCCAAAACATAACGTTTGCTCAACGACAATTGGTCCAGCGTCTTTCGCCTTTCGTCTTTTAGACTTTTGTTATCATTGTTTTTTTGTCCGGAGATAACGTAATTGTAATCTACTATTTACTGGCTGTGATACGTTGAGAGCTCGTGCCACAATGCTGTCTTGTTCCAGCCTCCAACATGTCAAAAGCAGAGACGGCGCATGTCAAAAACGTTTTATTGAGTCTAAAACAATATTAGAACAACCTTCAGTCTGGTTTTATCACTGAAATGTAAAACAACACGGAAACACTTTTCACTGAAAAGGTCGGGTTTTATCCTGACCATGTAAGTGAACATCATGAAACATGTCTGCACGTAGTCGGTGTGTTTCATAACACGTTGTGAATGGCATGATCATTTTCTAAATACATAATTATACAATCATACAACTTGGTTCAAAGTAATATCAGCAAAAACCGAAATACTCCCTACTTTTTAATAGTATACATAATGGCTGTGCACAACAGGCAGAAACAGTATCACCCAAATGTATCACATTCTAATGAATGTGTAATCCTACGTCCATGCTGCAGCTCTAACATTTGGCAACCACATTTGTTATAAACATGAAAATGATTACCGGAATGTATCATATTATATACATTTATGAAAACATACGTTTTCATATATCTTGTGAGCTATTTGCTAAAATGGAACAATAGTGGCAGACAATTTCCTTTTTCACAATAAGCATTCATTTGTTTAAAACAATTACTGAGACAATTTTATTGTTTTTCAATAAAACCCCATAACCCCATAATCAAGGATTGGTTTATGTCATATTTTAATAAGTTCTGTGTTAGAGTGGAGCAAGATGACACGTTCTCTACTGGGAGTAGTGTAACAGCTGGTCTGGCGGTACCATCTACATGAAGTATATTTGGTGTGAATGCTGCAGATATTACACATACCTACAAGGTAGTGAAATCATACAAGTTCAAACACAATGTACATAACAGTGTAAACACATCAGATGTCATTCTTCAGCTAAGTGTTACCTCGTCTCATCGGGGGCGGCGGGGTAGCCTAGTGGTTAGAGCGTTGGCTCTTCACGCTGAAGACCCGTTTCGATTCCCCACATGGGTACAATGTGTGAAGCCCATTTCTGGTGTCCCACGCGGTGATATTGCCGGAATATTGCTAAAAGCGACGTAAACCTAAACTCACTCATTCACCTTGCCTCATCGCCATTATACCAATCAAAGTTTTCGATCGTCATCGCCACGACGTTCCTCCAACATCCCTGAATGCATATGATTGTTATGCGGTGTAATTGTAACTTGTGTCTATTTTATTCAGCCACGATTCGTAAATGAGATGGACTCCTAATGAGTCTTACTCCATGCATGAATTTTGTACGATCACCATTGCCCGATACTGAAGCAATGCATAGAGCAGATGTGTGCAGGGCAATGGTACACGTTGTACACGTTTGTAGGCTGTGATTTGATATATTGTTTGGAAATTGCGACCATGCTAAAACCGCTCGCAGATTATACAACACGTGTAAAGTATTGTCGGAGGGGATTATCTACCTTCAACAGAAAAGAAATACATCCAGGATATAGTCCAGTTGCAACTCACTGGAAAATAAAGATT